GTTATAGGCTGCGGAGGTACTTTGACGGCCCCGACTGATTATATCATTTACAACAACAATTCAAGAAGCACTTATAGTTATCTAAGAACATACAATACCAAGGTAATAAATACAAAATTTAAATTGTGATTAAATTTTGAAATAATGGGTAAAAGTTCAAAGGTATTAATTATTATAGACCAAACATACAGAATAAATAGTAGGGTATATTATATTACAAATAAGTAGAGAAGAGATTTTTAAACAATAAATACAAGGCTATAAAAATCTTCACTACCGTGTTTTATATAACATTTTTTCACTACTAGCACATTTATCGCCTGCAGAAATACAACAGTAAAAAATACAGGGTGTTTCACAGAGCTTTACGAGGCTTGCGCCTAATGTAAGCACCCAAGTATACAAAATGCACAATACACTAGATACAAAAAATACACATTTATTAATTATTTCATTTTTGGAAACCCATGACAGTAGTTGTCAAACTAATCACTGTTTTATTAATAGTCATAACCTGCAGTTTTTTATAAACAATTATCATTTGTTCTATCAAGAGACGGCATGAATATGATTCTAGTTTATCTATCTTAACCACTAACTAACAAAAAATGTAATTTTTGAAAGGGTGAACAAACTAGAGAACATTATCCAATTTTTCAAAATTTGTAATCGAGTTTGTGTCGTAATAAGTATTATTGATTGCATCTTACAGGCGCAGACCTCGTAAAATTATGTGAAACACCCTGTATAACCCTACTTAATGGACATGTTGCCTCAGACGTAAGATGTCGTAATTCACAACTACAATTTTTGTTAATTCACTATTACCTACAGTAATTAATTACTTACTTACCTGATTAATTTAAGTTGGAAGTATTATTTTCTTCTTATCATAAATCAGGTTATGTCATTTTTTGTACTTCTGCAACTACTATTATAACTAATGTTCTAACTTCATAATATGAAATATTTGTTAACATAACAAAGAAACTACAAAGAAAAGTGTTAAGACTTGCCTCACTAACGATAGTATTTTAACAAGGAATAAACCCATTTTTGTTTAGACAGTTTTGACATAGACAGAAGGATTAGAGTTGGAGTTATTCCGATGTTTTTAATGAGGAAATTTAAGTCTTTTTTATTTGATTTTGCATTAATTTCATCTCGAAATACTTCCGTTAGTACCTACTTGTGATGGTAAGAGTTTTCAATAATAATAGGTATTCTAGAAATATTTGTATTAATGTAATACCTTCCAACATCGGCATTTACCCACCTCTAATGCATTATAGTCCTTGGTCCATAATGAAAATGATTATTGACTACTATGAAAGAAAAACAACTTCACAACTTCTCAACAAACTAAATAATGGTATCTCTTTACAGCTAGTAGTGAAAAAAACCTTCATAAACTTTTTTTTTATTTTGCGACGGAAAGAAAGCTTATTTCGATACCAAAACAAATGCTTTAATGAGTCATTTCAACAAAAATTTGGGTGCTAAAATAGACTAGTACAATTTACTTTCTAGAGGTTGGTTATAATGATTTTCAGCGGCGTTTTGAGCGATTTCTCTCATTTTAGGTGATGTGCATGAAATATTTGCCGAATTCATTGTTAATTCAAAAAAGTGTTAAAAAATATACGAGACTTGACACTTCTAAAATCGAATTTTTCAAACTTTGTGACATTTATTACCAACCACCACCTTATTAAAGCAATAGTTCCTAAATTTTGAAAAATTGATTTTTATGTTAAAAAAGTACGTAAAACGCGCAAAAAACAATAGTATAAAAAACTTGTTMTATAAGTCATTTGTGGGAACTCGTTCTTTATAAAACTCCCGCTTTGCTGAACTCGTTCTACAAAACTTGCCTTTCGAAACGCTTTCTTTAATGTATTATTTTATAACTTGCACAATTACCGAGAAAAAATACAACTTACTACTAACTCACCGTGAACATCGTTCAACATTTCTGGATTGTTCTGAATACCTATACCGGGTGAATAAAAATTATGGAATCAAGTGATCACCCCGCCCCCACAGATCAGAGAGAAAAAGATCGGAAACGGCCATAAGCCTCCTATGTAAATAAACGACCCCTGCTAATTCAAATCTAATGAACACCTGACTCACCAGAGGCGCAGTYATCAGTTGACTAGATAAAAACCCGCCAAATTCAAAAACACAGAGGGGAATGTTGTATTGCTTGTTACTGAATTGTATTTTTTTATTATTATGAATTTATTAGTGAGAAATACACATTTTACTCCAAACAAACTTATTTAATATTAATGAACATTGGTGTAAAATGTTTTTCAATATTTCATTGTTACTTGAAATTTTAATTTTGTTTTCGAATCTGCTCGCCCACAGGATCCGCATTATTAAAAACATTTTCAAGAACATTCGTCGAATCTTCATTACCTAAATGAAAATAATGTGTTCTATGTTTTTAATCATTTCAATTACAACTTATAATTATAAATTATAAGTGGGAAATTAGTATCAGAATTAATAATATTATCAATTTCAATGGCCTTCTCAACATTTGTTTCCTTTCCTGGTTCTGAAATCAATAAGTATGGAAAGTACTCTTTTACAATATGTGAAAAATCTTACTAAAATTTGCTACATTTTTTATATAACTTATGTTGGATATAGATCCGTGTTTAAATAGAAATTTTAGCCATTTTTTCCAACTGCTCTTGACCAAAATGATCACTGCAAACCCGAAAATTTTGTTTGGTATAATTTACTTCTAGTAAATCTTTCTGATCTACAGCTTCTAGCCATTTCCGTGCTCTAAAATTTCGAATATCTGTAAATGATGCTCACAATACTTACAATTTTTATTTACTATGACGAATCTGTGAGAAGTATAAAAAAGCGATATCACTATTATTCAATTTATTATTATAACACGATTTGACAATGCAGTAATTGCCGTGACTCATTTTTTAGCAAAAAAAGACAAACTTATTTATGTAAAAATCACAATGTCAAAGTTTCTGCCAAACTAAAAAAAAAATTGAAAAAAATGGTACTTTTTGCAAATTGGCGGCTAATCCGAAATTGTAATGAACACCTGAGACGTAAGATGGCGCTACATCCAATAGGTCACTACCTTAGGGTCGCCAAGTTTCCAATCTTTCTCTCTCTGATCCCTGCCCGCCCCCATAGACTAATAGTAAAGTTTATACCTACTGATTTTTTAAAAATGAACCACCTTTTGGATATCTCAGAAAAATAAACAAAAATTTGAAAATTTCGAGACAGGTCAATTTTTATTTCCAAGGGGACACCTTTTAGTATATACTTTTGTAATTTGTAGTACCTACCCTTTTGGTAATAAAGACAACCTCTTCAAATTTTTTTAAATGGCACCACCCCCTTTGCGATACATGAAATGAAATGTATTTTTTCCTACGACCATATACGAAACTAGATCATAACGCACAATTACATATGCGCGAAAATTGGCAATATCGTACGAGGTCGTAAACCTGTGCGATTTGTTTTCGCACTGTGTGTTAGAAATCTAACGCACAATTCACACTCAAATGTTTTGTATTTTTTCATTTAACGTATTTTTTTGTATCCATTATAAAAAATAAATTGTCATGAAAAAAAAATATGTTCGTAAGAAAAAAAATATTTATGGTCGTAGGAAAAATAGTGTACAAAACTTGTAGGAAAGTGTCTAACGCACTCGCGGGGTTGCCTGCACTCGGCTAACGCCTCGTGCGCAACTTTCCCGCTTGTGCGTTATTTATCACTTTCTGTGCTCGTTATGTAATCTACTATAACCAGAAATTTGCCTGTGTATTTTTTTTGAGTTTCGATAGTTCTTTATAAGGTTACATGGTGCTCAATTACTGTTACATAATACCAAGGAGGTTAGATCCATCTAACCTCCTTGGGTAATACTTTTGCTATATGAAATGCTCAAAACAAAGTTGAAGGTTTATTTTTAAACTAAAATTAAACTGACATTGTCGTAGTCTATTACCTATATTTTTTCTAATAATCATTTTAAAATGTAGTGTCAATGGAACATCACCGTCCGTAGTGGTAGGACAATAGAAATGGAATTCTTGTCCTTCAATATACACCACGATACCAACAAAGGTTGCGACAATTATCTTATGGTATAATTTTTTTTTTTGTTAAGATAAGAATTTTTCTAAATATGAGTTTCCAGATCCGAAATGGAAAATTTCCAGATTCGCCAATCCTCGGCAGTGGTAAATATTGTGGAGAACAAAAACCACCAACTCTTAAAACTACCGGAAATAACGCTTTTATTAAATTTGAAGGAATTAGCAGTTTAACGGTATTCAAAACACAAACACTTTTTTTTGTTACTTTAATAATTTTCAGAATTTTGTTTTACGCTACCGCGAAGTGTCCTATGCATGCGATAGTGAAATAGTTTTAACAAAATTTGCCAACGCCACAGAAATACATTCTCCCAATTACCCAAATATACCGCCGCCTCATGTAGAGTGCAATTGGAGAATAATGGCTCCGCCTGGTGAAATTATTCGCATTGATTTTATTGACAGATTCGATTTAAAAATCCAAAATAAGTAAGTTTATAAAATTGTAAATAGAGCAACAGTTAACAGTTTTTGCAGTTGTACAAACGAATATGTTGAAGTGCGCGACGGTGGTACTCAATATTCGAGACTAATCGGAAAATTCTGCGAAAAACCAAATTCCCAGTTTAGTACCGATAATATGATGTTTGTGAAGTTTTTCACAGAGTTGAATGACCCGAGTAATGGGTTTAAAGCCAGGATAGTTTTGGCCAATTGTGGAGGGAGTATTCATAGTAAAACTGGTCAAATTCAGTCACCATTTTTCAACGTGCCTTCGAAATATCCAGTCGATGTTAATTGTACTTGGCATTTAGTCTCACCATCGAATCACAATATGGATATTAAGTTTGATAAAATTGACTTGGAAGAAGCTTCGAATTGTACACGCGTGGACCATGTTAAAATTTACGAAAGAAATGAAGTTGACAACACAGGTAAAATTTGTTAATATTTAACGAGGGATGGAAAAAAATCCTAGAGGGTTGGAATTTTTTTTAAATGCTTTCTTTACACTTTGGCAGTCATATATCAAAAGTCCCCGAAGGTGGTGGGCGAGCTCGAGCAGGGGGGGTTAAAGGTGTCTTTGTTGGTTTTTTGCTCGTATCTCGGAAATTATCACTCTTATAGGTTTTTATCTTCTTATCAAAATTAAAGCTTACAAAATTTCCTACATGGTCCTTTGCATTTTTGTTGTAGGACCGTAAGTGAGTTATAGGGCAGAAAAAAAAAACATCATTTAAAAAAATGTGCTTTATCTGCATTTAAAACAGAATTAGTCTTGTAATTTAAAAAAAAAACTGACAGTAAATTGAATTTACTGGGTCCAATACTTCATTAAAGGAAGGGGGAATCACGAGGGTCTATAAATACAAACTCATCGTTTATGTAATTTATGCAGAATTTTCTGTAGAAGTCTATTTCTGCATCAAAATTTCCTACAAAAATGGTCCTATTCATTTTTGTCGTAGGACTAAGCGTAGGCTTCAAAAGTTTGGAGTCTACATAAAATTGCATTAAAAATCTTTGAAACACATTTCATTAGTATATGGTAAGTATTTACTCCTATACGTGTAGAGCGTTCCCAACTAAGCTGGTCTGCCTAAAAGGTGACTCGGGTGTAAACATTTAAACGGAGATATAAATAAAAATTTTGGAAGAAAGAGAGAATCAATCTGTAAGGGGGTTAAATGGGGTGTAAATGTTTAAACAAAGATATAAACATAAAATTCATCAGAGGTGTAAAGGGGCACTAAAATAAGATTTTTCGKAAATTAGTTTTTAAGGAAATAAAACGGTGTACACATTTAAAGGGATATAAAAGCATTAAATTTAGAAAATATGATCCTTAGAGAGTGTAGAAGTGCACTTTTCAAATTTCAACGAAATAAAGTAGAATTTAAACGCTTAAAAACAAAATTAGAAACATGAAATTTCGAATTTTGAGAGTGCAGAAATACACTTATGAAAATCAACATTTAATATTTATCCATAAACATAGCCCATGCGAAGAACGAGACTACTTTATCTAATTATCTAGCTTTATAGAGTACCTAAGCGTATGGACTGGTTTTGTGAACGGGCTTTTTTCCATTTTATATCAGCATATAAGGATGACTCGGAAGACTTTAAAAAAATTTCAACTCTCTAGGATTTTTTTCCACCGATCGCCCTATTTTTGTCTAATTTGACTGGGCTATTTATAAAAAATTCATTTTAGAATACATTTTGGGCAATTTTTGTGGTAAAAAGCTGCCAGGATTAATTCAGACCTCGGGAAGTGAAGCTATAGTTCACTTCCAAACTGGTAACATCAAAAAAGAATTGGGTGGATTTTCATTGAAGTTCAACGCAAGCGCTGAAGGTACCTACTTCTAAAAAATAAAAAACGTTTTGAATATCGTGTTTCAGTATGTGGTGGTACTATCGAAGCTTCAGAAGGTACAATCAAAAGTCCGGGATATCCCAATCCGCATAGAATTTATAGAAGATGTAGTTGGACAATTATAGTACCAAAAGGTCGTCGAGTGACTCTCAAAATTGAAGATTTTGGGTTAGACAATCGATTAAAAGGATCATGGCTTAATGGCTTAATTATTTACCACGATAAGAATTTTAAAGGATATATTAAAAAAGTTAGTGCAACTAACGAAGTTATCGAATCTTCAGAAAACCACATGCACGTTTATTATTGGTCACCGGGGACTGCAGGAAGAGGTTTCAAAGCGAAATTCACTTCCAACAACCCATCTGGTAACTTTTTAATTTGTTTTTGTGAAGTATTTGCAACTTGTGTCATACTATTTTGAAGGAATTTTGAAAATTCATACAGGGTGCGCCAGAACTCGCGCCCCAGAGAAAAATGACATATAAGGTAAGATACCAGGATCATGGAAAAATGTTTAAAAAAATTTATCTATGAAAATTTCGAAGTTATGAGGGTAAATTTTGCACTTTGACTCTATTTATTTCTGTTGGAAAAATAGTTTTCCAAATTTTTTTGCTATAGGCTATTAAAAGAGGAAACAAAGAAGCTGTATTCTAAATTGTAACTCTGTTCTATATTATTTGTGGCTTTTATTGGCAAAATTTTTGTACCTTTACTAAATAATTGTGAAAAAACATATACAAGATTATCAGTATCATTAAATAGGCATAAAAAAATGTCAAATTTACAAAAAAATAAATGTCAAAATTTTTTGACAGATAGAATTTTTTAAACATTTTTTCCATGTTCCTGGTAGCTTATCTTACATGAAAATTTTCTCTGGGGCCCGAGTTCTGGCGCACCCTGTTTACAGACTGTCTCAGCGAGTTGGTAAGTCCATTAGTGAGTGACCTTTAAATGGTAAACGTTGATAGATACTAACCTAGCCCATGGCCTAAAAGTATTTTCTACTATACAGCGTGCCACAAAAATAAGTTACAATACAAACCTGTGTTTTTTTTTAAATGAAACATCATATGTTATACAGGGTGTTTACCGTCTTGAGGTTAAAATTTAAATGAAATGATATTCACGGTAGAAGAAAACTAATACGCTACATAAAATAAAAATTTGCGCTATGYAAGTAAATATATTTGTTATATTATTTGTTTAAGAACTGCTGCTTCGGCTGCAACAATGGTCATTAGTATCATGACCTTGTGTTTTACCGTAAATCATAATGACGACAACCAATTTATTATTTTAATATTTGCGATCCATGTCCACAAATTTAGAAAAAAAAAATCGAATCAAACCTATTGGAAACCATTTCGCTGAAAAAGAATAAACAGAAGATCTTCGAATTTTGATAAAAACTAATAAAACAGAAACAAATGAAATGATGATAGTGTCAAAACCATAAAGTGACTTTTCTCTTTCATTGTCATTGATATAATTTTCTTATTAGTTGCAACAATACAATTTTATTTTAACAAAAAAAAAGAATTCCAGTGACCCTCAGACCGTGTACTTACCAATATTTTAGAATTAAATAACATTCTTAATAATAACAATTGTGTGAGTTTCTTTTTCAATTACAGTATTTCTGTACATACTCTTCTATTATTAGGTCAATTTTCTACTCCAAGACCGTAAAAACACACCCTGCAAGTCATATTTTTAAAGGGCATGTTTTCATCAAAAAATCTTCTTATTTTTAAAACTATGCAAAATCGACTAAAAACAATGTATTAAAAGACTACATTCTAAAATGCCACAAAACATATGCTATTTCATTAAAAAAATAACACAATTTTGTAATGTAACTTATTTTTGGAACATGCTGTATAGTTGAAAATAATTTTAGGTGATACACTATATCAATTGCCTATATATATCTTTTAAAATTTTATTATTTAAAGGTCAATATGTGACTTTACCATGTTGCTGGGACCCCCTGTATATACATATACAGGTATGTAAGACTCGCGGCCCAAAGAAAAATTTCAAGTAAGATAAGATACCAAAATGTTTAAAAAATTTGACAATTATTTTTTGACATTTGAGATTTTTTATGTGTATTTAATGATAATGATGATTTTGTATATATTTTGTTATACTCCTAATTATTTAGTAAAGGTAAAAAATTCTGTCAATAAAAGCCACAAAAAACGTCAAACATAGTTACAATTTAGGATACAGTTTCCTTGTTTCCTCTTCTAATAATCTATAGCAAGAAAACTTTAAAAATTATTTTTCCAACAGAAATAAATTAAAGTGCAAAATTTAAACTCTCAAAACTTCGAAAATTTTATGGATACAATTTTGTCAACATTTTTTTATGTTCCTGGTATATTACCTTACATGGCATTTTTCTCTGGGACGCGAGTTCTGGCGCATCCTGTATATATCTCATTTTGAACTGACAAATAGTGTGCAAAGCGTCATTTTAAAATTATCATTAGAAACAGGTTGTTGCCATTTCTGGTGTTTTCGGAAATTAAAAACACTCGAAGTTTCATTAAACACTGTTGTCATATTTTCTTAACATATCYAGTTGGTAGAGTCCGTTTTTCTAAGAGGTACATAGGCGGGATCGAGAATCTGCGCGAACTTTTAGAGAAGGGAGCTTAAATCGGTTGCCAGTGGCGTAACATACGTGGTGGAGATAAAACACTTGTACAGCCAAAATTTTAATATACTTAGTAAATAAAAGTCTGCAGTGCCAGTCAATACGATAAAATGGGTTTAACTGAAACTCATAAACAGACTATAGCATGAAATTTAAGAGACGGAATTTCGATACGGGCAATTACTGCTGAGGGTGATGTTCAGTAGATTCAAATTTGAGCGATTTTAACATCTGAGTCATTCCCATCAAGCCTATCCATACATAACCTTTTTTTAAAAAGCGATGTTTACACAACTCTAATTTATAATTTTCGGATCTGTTGTTTGTTATCTGTGTATGAATTTTTTTAGGCAACCATGGTACATTTGTTATTAATTATTGAATATTTTAATTTTGAATAATACCAGTAAAATAAAAGATTTAACAATGTTCACAATAATTTTGCATCACGTACAAAATAAAAGCTTGAAATATTTAAAAAAATTGTTTGTACTTACCAAAATACACAATTAACAAAAGACGAAAAAAAAAACCAATTTGATTTATGCTTGCTAATGGCCGTTTTTTCGTTTGGTATGGGTAAGTGTAAGGAAAATTAAAGTACGCTACTGATGACATGCAACCACTACGTCAAGCATGCGCGATACAAATTTGGTCTTAAATGTGTAACAGGGCCATTATATTGGTTTGTACCTCTTAGAAAAACGGCTCTAGTTTGACGTTTATTAGTTTGGCATTTAGAAAATGCCAGAAGAAAAATACGTCATTGAATTGAAATAATTTATAATTATTGTTTTCTTTAATTATTTGGTCGTAGAAAATGTATATTATGCAACACGTTTTATAAACTTCTTAGAGACTTCTTTATTAAACACTCGTTTCGCTTGTGCCTAACATAAAACTCTTTGCTAAAGTGTTGTTTATAACACTTTTTGCATAATATACTATTATAAATTCAAAACAGTTAACTTATAAGTTTTGATATATTGCACATCGGCGACAACAGTGTCATACGTACTAAAATATTAATTGTGAGATAATGCCTTTCAAAGATTTTTTGCATAATACAATTCCTAGATATTTGTTAAACTATATTCACTATTTAGGGGCCAATTTCAAAAATATTCTTTTTCTACGACCATATACAAAACTAGATCATAACGCACAATTACATATGCGCGAAAATTGGCAATATCGTTCGAGGTCAAAAACCTGTGCGATTTGTTTTCGCGCTGTGTGTTAGAAATCTAACGCACAATTCACACTCGAATGTTTTGTATTATTTCATTCAATGTATTTTTTTGTATCCATTATACAAAATAAAGCGTTATTCAACGTATTTTAGTCTAAATTCACAATTTTGGTTGGGCTACTATACAATATAAAAAAAAATATTATAAAACCAAGTGGTAATGAGTATGTAAGTAATTTTTTAAATTATTTTTCAGTTTGTGAAGGCGACTTTAATCAAGACAGTGGAACTATAACCCAACCAAACATAGACTACACGTACTTTTGTACTTACGTTCGGGAAAAGTATCCGAGTAGTGAAACATTAGCCTTGACAATTACTACAGCAACAAATGCTACTTGGCAATCATCTTCAAAAAAATGTATTTCTTACATAGCGGCAATTAAAATAGAAACTGGTTTTAATAATAAAAAAATGTACAACATTGATTCACTTACTATTATTTTTAGTGAATGGTAAAAAAGAACTCTTTTCCGTAAACTGTATTCCGGGTACAGCAGTTGTAAGAATCCCATATTCAAAGATACAARTCAGTGTGAGTTGTATATAAAAWTTTTCRCTTAAAACACGTAAATAACTATTATTTTTCAGGTTYTACAATATTCCWCTCGAAATCAAKTTAACTTTACTRTCTCCTATCACACTTATCAGTGTGGTGGAATTATAACCAGAGAAATGGGTGAAATAAAAAGTCCAGGTTACCCCAACAAAAATTCGAAATCCATAGAATGTAGTTGGCTGTTGCAATTACCTAAAGAACAGACCATTTCATTAACATTCAATTCTTTAAATTTGGGAAGCAACTGCGAGAAAAGTTATTTAGATATTTACAATGGRGATTCGCCTAAAAGTCCCAAAATAGACAGATATTGTCAACATAACAAACCTGACACACTTTTATCACAAACGAATCATTTATGGATCGATTATAAATTTGATGTCGATTCAGATAGCAAAGGATTTAGTCTTAAATACGAACCTAAAATTCAGGGTACAATTCATTATTTGATGTGGTAGTAAAAATTTACTGCAAGTGTTTCAGGATGTGGTGGAATATTTCATGATCGTGAAAGCATTATTCAAACTCCCTCTTTCCCTAATGACTATCCGAATAACGCMGAATGTTTGTGGGAATTGAGATGTGATGAGGGGTATCATATTGGTCTTATATTTACAACAAGATTTCAAATTGAAGAAACAGATAACTGCGAAAATGATTTTCTAGAAATCTGGGATTGGAGAAATAATGATTGGYTTTCGTTGGGAAGAAAATGTGGTCGCGAATTTCCCAGTACTGTTAATTCGACAAGTAACAGAATGAAAATTTTGTTCAGAAGTAATGAAAGAATCACTGGTAAAGGGTTTAGGGTAAGTATTGACGTGATTAATATATGTACTAAAAAAACAAAACATCAAAAAAAACATAAATAATTACTCTTTCGTGTGCTTTTTAATTTCTAATTGGTTTTTGTGTTTAGACCGTATAAACTAATTGAGTATGATACACAGTGTTTCAAAAATAGATCAAAAAAGAAAAATGCCAAGTAAGATACCAGGAACAAAAGTGTTTAAAAAATTCTATCAAAAAATTATGACATCTATTTAATCATATATTGATGATGTTGTATATGTTTTTTTTATAATTATTTAGTAAAGGTACAAAAATTTTGGCAATAAAAGCCACAAATGACATGAAAAAGAGTTTCAGTTTAGGATACAGCTTCATTATTTCCTCTTCTAATAGCCTGTAGCAAAAAAACTTGGATAATTATTTTTCTAATAGAAATAAATAGAATCAAAGTTCTAAATTTAAACTCTCACAACAACAAAATTTTTATGGATAGAATTTTTTTTTACATTTTTTTTATGTTCTTGGTATATTATTTTACTTGGCATTTTCTGTTTTTTGTCAATTTACAAAACATCCTGTATATTTTAATTTTTGTATTTTATAAGAATCCAGAAATCATTTTCCAAACAACCATAAATTAAATAAAAAGAAACTTTTAAAAATACCAGTCTAAAAAAATCATAATTTGTATAAAACATAACTTTTTTATAATTAAATCGTTTTTAAAAATAGTAATAAAGTTACACAAAAAATGTTATCGTTATAATTATGTACTTAGTATTACAATTTTAAATAATTGTCTAAAATTCTTAGAATAAATATTAACAATGTTTTCAAAAAACAGAAAATCTTTTTGAATAAGCTACAAAATGTTTATGATTTGGTTGTTTAAGACTGTGAGTAATAAAAAATGCAATTACATAATAATGCAGGTAGTGCACAATTTTATTATTGTTGAATTCGTAAACTGACTAAAAATTTTGTATTTAGAGTGAATATAAYGTATGAAACCAAACGGTTTTTTTAATTATTTGCCTTTAGAAAATAATGATTAATATAAATTAAAGATATATTAAAAATGTGATCGTATTTTGAGAACGAAATTTTGTTTTGTTTTTGAGTTATGCAATTTTTTTTGTCAAAATTGCAATTTATGTAATTTTTTTATGAAAATTAAATACAGGGTCGCTAAAAAATATAGATAAATATTTTCAGAACGGTTTAGCAGAGCACGTTGAAATTTGGGAAACAGTTTACTTATTTTTTGGTCAAAGTTCAAGCGGCAAAGAGATAATGTTTGATAAAGACAACATTTTTAAGGCTAAAAAAATTACATTTTTCAAAATGTATATAATTTATTTTTTTGAAAATTAGGTATGCTTGTGTTACATCACACAACTCAAAAAAAATGCTTTTCTTAAAAATATTAAATATGACTCTTCTTGACATTAAAAAAAAATCAAGTTAGGCTCGTATCCTCAGAACAAATGGAGATAGAAGTTTGATAAACATCTGAAACAATGGAATTTAAATACTTTTAAGCATATACCACAATAAGTTCGTTTATGAAAAGTTTTTATTAGTATATTACATAACGAGCACGGAAACTGATAAATAACGCACAAGCGGGAAAGTTGCGCACGAGGCGTTAGCCGAGTGCAGGCAATACCGCGAGTGCGTTAGACACTTTCCTGCAAGTTTTGTACACTATTTTTTCTACGACCATAAATAATTTTTTTCTTACAAACATATTTTTTTTTTCATAACGATTTATTTTTTATAATGGATACAAAAAAATACGTTGAATGAAAAAATACAAAACATTCGAGTGTGAATTCTGCGTTAAATTTCTAACACACAGCGCGAAAACAAATCGCACATGTTTTCTGACCTCGTACGATATTGCCAATTTTCGCGCATATGTAATTGTGCGTTATGATCTAGTTTAGTATATAGTCATAGGAAAAATATTTAACTGTATCCACACTTTTTAGCAACCTGTATAAAGTAGATAGTTGTAATCCTTAGATAATAACCTTCATGAGAAAAATGGTTTTATAGTGGGTTGCCATTTAAAAAAAAACATTTTTTAAAACTCGAAAACAAAAGAGAATTTCGAAAAAATGTATTCTTGATAAAACATTACATTTTTATAGTACTTTATCATTCATCAATTAATATTTGCCAAAAAATAAATAGTTTAAGCAAAAAACGTTCGGTTCCATACTTTTATTCACCTGGTATATGGAAATCATCAGTTATGTTTTTTTTTTTAACTACAACTTCGCTTTTTAAACTGTCTATACAACTCTTGTTGTCTTAATAGCTCTATAAATTAATGTTCAAGCAGAAAAGTTATTAATTTTATTACCATTTTGTTTAAATCTGTGTTAGGCTCAATGGGAGTGGAACTGTGGAGGCACTTTTATTGCTGACAGAACCGAACGTTTCATAGTGAGTCCTGGATTTCCTCAAGAATATAAAAAGAACACAATCTGTCAATACAATATTACATCCAATCAAACACGTAATCGTTTCATAAATATTAAATTTTACAATTTCGATCTTGAAGGCAGTAAGTTAAAAAAAATGATGATAATAATAGTGGCTAATATTAATTTGTTTTAATGAGGTGGCTCGTCTAACTGTCGTTACGACAACTTAACATTATCAAGATTCTGGTTACCACGCATGAACCGATTTTACACACCTGCAATCCAAGTTTTCTGCGGCCAAAAACTACCACCTCCAGTTCGTCTGACTGACTCTGTTTATATCCGCTTCCAATCTGATCCTTGGGTGCAGAAAACTGGTTTCAAATTTTCATACCAACTTGATGGTAAATTAGTTTAATTTAATATCACTTCAATATAAAAAATATTCTTAGACTGTGGAGGTCAGATAAATTCACCGACGGTTATATCATCTCCTTTAATGAAAATAGAAAAAAATTTCGGACTATACAGTGGATTCACGAGTTGCACTTGGAATATCACAGTGCCCCCAAAAAAGAACGTTGTTATTCGATTCCAAAAATTCCGTTTCGAGTACAGAACTAGGTGTCATTTTGATCACGTAGAAATATTTGAGGGACCAGTGAGWACCATATCTAAGAGAATTGCAAATTTATGTGGTGACTTGAATCAAAATCTTCCAACTATCAAGTCGGAAAGTAACACAGTTTTATTAGTCATGAGCAGTGATCGAACAKTGAATCATGATGGCTTTGAAGCTGAAATTTATTTTGTTGATGGTAAAAGATAATAATCAGTAAGTTGCTTGAACTAACTGAATTTTTGTAGGGCCTGCTTTAGGGTGTGGAGGAAAAATTGTATTAAACAAGACGATGACTTTACAAGCACCCAATTTAGCCGACATGGACTGCCTTTGGACTATTCAATCGAAAATTGACTCAACTGTAAGAATTCATTTTGATGAATTAAATTTACCTTCAAGATGCGGTTTGACTAATCACACGATCACCAATTGCAGTTGTGCAGCTCTTGAGGTAAGTAACTTTAATACAATCAATATTGTTTTTTTTTTCTAGAGTAGGAAAAAACTAGAATTTTGCTTTTTTTATCACGCGTGTGAAACTATGTTTTAAAGCTCGAATGCCTTTTTGTTCTAACTTCAAAAAACGGCATATTCTCTCTTTAAAAAACTATTGTTTTGCACTGAAAAAAACACGTTTGTTTCTAACAACGTGTGACTTTTGGTTTACAATAGGTAAACATCCAACTTGTTGATTTCAAATTRCTATTGTAAAATTGCAAAAAGTAGAAGATGATGGATAAAAGTTGTTAGCTAAAGTACATATAATTTTTTTATTTTTATGATGAATAAAAAATTATAGTGTAAAAAATACTAATAGCATTGACGCAAGGTATACGGTTTACTTATTACTTTAATTTGTTTGATAGCTAAAATAATTACCAAGATTATAGCTAATAAATTACCAAGATTATACTGTATTAAAAAAAAAATATGTACAGGCTGGTCCAAAAGTCTGGAAACGATGTAATTCTGGCGAAACTATTAAATTTTTGGCAAATAAATTTATAGGTGAGCAATTGAATATTAATTAATTGTTTATACTTACGAGATAAACAAAGTAACTTTTTTTTAATGGAAACCTACCACAATTTTTTTTTAAACAACCAGCTTGTTACAAGAATTGTTGCCATGCAAAAACTTTTTTTGTAAATATCACACTTTTTTGTTAAAAAAATGTTTGACTTACAAGAATTATTTTTTTTTTAATAAACTACCAGTTTTTTTTTGGAAATAAACTAATAAATGTTTAAAGGTTGTAAAGGAGCAATGCCAAAATATTTTTTATTTTAATTAATTGTTTAAACTTTTGAGATTACCATACTAATANTTTTTTTCTTAAATAAAAACGGTTTTTTATTTATTGTTTTACAAACATATGTTTATGCATTTTATAAATGTATAAAAATAGTTATAAAAAATATTACAATTTATGTTAAAAAAATGATAAACTTTATCTGTTGTCAAAACTTTCTTCCACCGACCAAGGGCTAAGGCCAAGGGTTAAGACCGAGCAGTGGTAAGCACATTAAGCTTATTACGCCTTCTTTTATGRCGTTGCTATGGCGTCGTCATTTTGCTTTAATTTCCAAATAAAAATTGTTTGTCTTTGGAGCGCTTTCTGAGACAACAGCACACCTTTTTTTAATTTATGTAATAAATATTTTATCAAAGACGACAATATTCAAAGATAGATATTAAAATTTTATTTATGGGGTGGGTATTTTCTGACTAAGCCGTAAGAATATTGCACCAGAGATTAATGCAGGTAGAAATAGAAATATTTAAATCTGAATTATTTGTGGGATGCAGTAGATGCTCAAGAAACCATCGTTCGATCGGAAGGGTTAATATCAGACACACAATTGTAGGGAGGGTAATGTTTACGTAGGTAATAATTGCAAGTATTTGTTTTTTTTTTTGTAAATAAAAAATAACGCAATTTCTTTTTGAAAACAAATTAATAGTTTTTTTTAAGAAATATTAAAATATTTATTACATAAATTAAAGAAACTTGTGCTGTTGTCTCAAAAAGCGCTCTAGAGAGAAATAATTTTTATTTAGAAAATAAAGCAAAATGACGACGCCATAGCAATGACATAAAAGAAGGCGTGTTGATCACTGATGGTCGGTCTTAGCATACCACCCCATGGCCGGTGGAAGAAAGTTTTGACAACAGATAAAGTTTATAATTTTTTTAAGGTAAATTGTAACATTTTTAATAAATATTTTTGTACGTTTATAAAATGCATAAACATATCTTTGTAAAACAATAAATAAAAAACCGTTTTTATTTAGGAAAAAAAATATTAGTATCATAATCTCAAAAGTTTAAACAATTAAAATAAAAATTTTTTTGGCATCGCTCCTTTACAACCTTTAAACATTTATTAATTTATTTCCAAAAAAAAACTGGTAGTTTACTCAAAAAAATTCTTTAATTCTTGTAAGTCAAATATTTTTTTAACAAAAAAGTGTGTAGTTTACAAAAAAAAAATGCATGGCAACAATTCTTGTAACAAGCTCGTTGTCTAAAAAAAAATTGTGGTAGGTTTTCATTTAAAAAAAAAGTTACTATGTTTATCGCGTAAGTATAAACAATTAATTAATATTCAAAAATTTTTTTGAATAGCATTTTTATAGCCATTGCACACCTATAAATTTATTTTCCAAAAAATTTGATAGTTTTGCCAGAATTACATCGTTTCCAGACTTTTGGACCACTCTGTATTACTCTTACAATATAAATGGTGGATACGCCGGGATAATTTTATAATAAGAAAGAAGTTCGGGTTTGTTAAATTAGTTAGACAAATTAAAATAACAAGTTTAGAATAATTTTTTTCTTTTTTGCTAAAGGGTGCAATGTAGACATTTAAAATAGATGATTTTTTTGCAAAACAAGCAAGATTTTTTTAAATTGAGACAAATGTAATAATATGAGCCAAAAAATCAATTTTTTAATTTCCATCATCAAATTAATAAAATTCCTGAAATAAAAAATGCTTTTGTTAAAATAATTTAATTTTTTCAAAATTTACAGCTTTTTTCCCGTGTAAGGAAGTTTTGACAACTGTTTGGTATTTCTCACTTCGAAACGTTAGATTATTTTTCACAGATTTAAATCAAATTTAAGTCTTGTTGAGTCTTACTCGAAGAATAAAATGTTGTATTCAACACGTCTACGAGTAAATCGGTTCATTTATTCCACCTAGTGCATGATAAACCACTCGTTAACATTCGTGAAATAAAGCGTCCGTTTTACACTCAAACTCGTTGAGTAAATAATTATTTTATGTGGTTTATCAGATTCTGTCTATTAACATATTGTGCATTATACAGGGTTATTCATAAATATGAAGCAATATTTGAACCTCAAAAATGACCTAGAAAATGATGTTAATTTAAATAATAACTCGTGTCCTATCTCTACTGATAAGAATTTTACAGCCCTCGGAATGTGGGTATGGAAATTTGATTTTTTTGTAATAACTTTGGAACTATTTGACCAAATATTACAAAATTTGGAACATTTCCCTGTGACAACATACCCTTTGAACTGGTAATCACGAAAACCGGATACATCCACTCAATTTCCGGTTCCGGCAGTTGCAGGTCACATTTTCTGTGTTTTTCCATTTTTTGCTCTCTTAACAACAATTTTTTATTACCTAAATCGATAGAGTAATCAATTTCGAATAAAAAACGCATAACCTTTAATACCCCTAAAATGGACCGTTTCAAAGATATTTTAATATAAACTGAGGACTGCACAACGCTGAAATCAAAAAGTAGGAATTTTGAATAAATGATATCCATGGCAACAAATGACCATGGTCTCACAAATCGCTGTCAGGCATCTGTCAACTTTGACATTGGACGATTCTTGGGCGATTAATTGAAAATATTTAATAAAAGAGTTTACTTCAGATTCCAAACGTAATCTACAATAAATTCAAATCGATCTCGTAGCATTTAATTTATAAAAAATTCACAAAAACTTATCGACAAAGTTAACAGATGCCTGACAGCAATTAGTGAGACCATGGTCATTTGTTACCGTGGATATCATCCATTCAAAATCCCTACTTTTTGGTTTCAGCGTTGTGCAGTCCTCAGTTTAAATTAAAATATCTTTGAAACGGTTCATTTTAGGGGTATTAAAGGTTATGCGTTTTTTAATCAAAATTGATTACTCTAACGATTTGGGCAATAAAAAATTGGTGTTAAGAGAGCAAAAAAAATGGAAAAACACAGAAAATGTGACTTGCAACTGCTGGAACCGGAAATTGAGTGAATGTATCCGGTTTTCGTAATTACCAGTTCAAAGGGAATGTTGTCACAGGGAAATGTTCCAAATTTTATAATATTTGGTCAAATAGTTCCAAAGTTATTACAATAAAATCAAATTTCCATACCCACATTCCGAGGGCTGTAAAATTCTTATCAGTAGAGATAGGACATGAGTTATTATTTAAATTAACATCATTTTATGGGTTATTTTTGAGGTTCAAATATTGCTTCATATTTATTAATAACCCTGTATGTACATGCACAAAAATAGTTTAGCAGTATGGCTTTAATAAAATATATATTTGTTTAGGAGGGAATAAAATAGTATATTATGTAACTAGTGCTATAAACGCCACATTAGACATAAGTTTTATTAGGCACGAGCAAAGCGCAGCGGAGCAAGTGTTTAATAAAACGAATGTCTAGAGAAGTTTATACACGTGTTACATACTTTACTTTTTCTACTACCACCACAAAAAATTTACTTAAATTAAAAATTAAATTATATGACAGAAACTTCAACTCGTGACTAATACAACAGTTGCAGCAACGTAACTAATACGTACATTATTCACGGCTTGTCAAGATGTATATAAAGGGTCACTTAGCGTCCTGGAAACTTTGGAAACATATACGATAATCCATGTTTTAGATGTGAGAGTAGAAAAAACAAATTAATAAATCCATTATAAATACTTATTTTTATATTAAGTGTGCGAAAGAACTGTTTTTAACACAAGAAAATGCCGCTTTTCATCAAGACCGAAAATTAAAAAAAAGCGTTTAAGCGTTAAAACACAGTTTTGCAAACATAATGTAAACAACATTTTTTCTACAAAAGTTTTCAGTGTAGTGCCTAAAATACATCAGTTTGTGAAACTTCACACACTGACGACGCTTTTGCGCCCATAACCAAATATGGCAAACTTTGCCTATTAATTTACACGTGTGAAGTTCAACATGTTTTATGATTGTAGAAAAATAAATTTTTTCCACGACAATATAGAAATATGACATTTTCCATACGTGTGTGTTAGGAATATAACGTAAGAGGTTGTGCGATTGGCGGAGAGCCCTAGGCGCATCTGGCAAATTGCGCGTGATTGGCTGTTTGTTGGCCATGTGCATTGCTTGTGACTTTGATTTTTTTCATTCTTAAAATTGACGCAAAGTTTTGTAATTAAAACCACCGACTATTTAAACAACACACATCTGCGGCTGCCATGACATTTATTATTACTACATTTTCGTTTTGTTAATAACTATTATAGATTAGTATTATTATTATTTAATTTACAATATGGTGAGTCCGCAGAAATAATTTCCCAAAACTCATTAGATACTGTGCATCTCTATGGCTTGATTACGCGATATGTGATTTTATTAAAGTGAAAATCTAGATTTTAAATAAATGTACATGTTAATATCACTACTTTTAAACAGTAGAATCAAGTTTTTTAAAATGCTAAGTTGTTTAAAATCGTAATAATGTGTCAATTTTTAAATTTATATAGGTAAAAGATGGACACCCTAGTGTTGGAGATTTAATTGAGACGTTTTGTGGGATCACAGACACACATTACTCAAGAGAAATTACAGTGTCTGGAAATGTTGTGGGACTACGACTTCGAACAAGAGGAGCTAATTCGAAAGCTTTTAAAGTAACTTTAACACCAGTCGCTTGTAAGTAACAGAGTTTAATAAATTTGTGTTAAAGTATTTATATCTGTAGCAATTTGTGGTCCATTTTATTTAAATGTAACAGAAGAAATTAAAACTTTGGTTTCGCCTGGATATCCAAACAAGTATCCCAGTGACTTGAGATGTACCTGGATTCTCAAGGCAAATACACGATTTGTTATTCGATTTATTGATTTTGATATGAATGAAGAAAATAACCAGCATGTTGTGAATAATGTTTGTAGTGAAGACAAACTGGAAATTGTTGATAATTTGGTAATTAATGAGACTCATTAGTATGAATCATATAATATATGTTATTTTTAAAGGACGCTCAGTACTCGACTACCGATCTGGGCCCATCATTCACAGTTTCCGGTGACAGAAAGTTAACAACTGATTTTTTGGTAAGATGAAATACCAAATTTTTTAATTGCGCTAAAAATCTACTAAAAAGTTTAAACACATTATTTCAAGAGGTTTTTTTTTAAACAGTTGCATACACATATCACTCAATAATCACTAAAAAACATACTAGTAAAATATGAAGAATTTTGAAACAAAATATACAAGGTGTTAAAAAGAGATTGTAAAATATTTTAGGAGGTAATAGTATGGACCAAAACAAACAAAAAAGTTTTAATACACATGAGTCCGTAAAGTAACGGTTTTGGAAATATGGAAAATTATTCGTTTTTTTAAACATTTGTTTGAAATTTGTTCAAATAAAAAAGAGAAACTTCTAATAAAAATTAAAAATTTTCACATACGATATCTTCAAACCCGTTATTTTGCGGACCCATGTTTATTAAGCTTTTTTGTTTATTTCGGTCTATACTATTGCTTCCTTTAATAATTTACAATCTTTTTTAAATACCCTGTATAGCAAAATGAAATTATGATAAACTCCCAATCAAGTTTATGAAGTATACAGTAAGGAGTCTGATAAAGATGAAATTTACATTTTTTGTCTATTCATACCAATTAATTAACAAAAACAAATTAATAATTTTTTGTTAATAAAAATTTGTTACGTTAATAAAAATTGGATCTACAATACTCAAGCGGGGAGGTTTTTTCGCGCATATGCAACACTCTCGCTTCTCTCGTTTATGCTTCAAACGATACCTACTTGTGCAAAAAAAAATAGATTTCTTGCAATTATTATGTAAATAACTAATTACCTACAATTGTTTAAATTTTTGTAGAGATACGGATATCTGACTGGAAGCCATCAGTTTTGCGGCAAATCTGAAAAACCATTTGATTACTATTCTCAGTTTTACCAATTAAAGATTAAATTTAAATCAGGAAATCTAGACAAGGATCGTGGTAAAGGTTTCAAACTTGAATATCAAACAACTGGTAATATAAACAGTTAATTTTACTTTATTTTTCAATAACGGAGCTTTTTAGGATGCAACCAAAATTTCACGTCTTTGCAAGGACGTATAGCCTTAAATGATGCGAAAACTTTCGATTGTTTCCAAATTATAACAGTACCCAAAAACTACACAATCTCGCTTTACTTCCAACAAATTACCATATACCAAAGCCAAGGATGTGTAAATGGTGGTATTGAGATACGAGAAGGAAATTCAAAGGGAACTTTATTCCAAAAAGCTTGTGGTTATTATCTCCCAAATCCCGTGTTTTCCACGACAAATAAATTGTGGATACATTCCTGGAGTAAAAACCATAATCTAGTATCTTACAACCTTGTGTATACTGCGTCTGATCAAGGAAGAGGATGTGGTGGTCTTATATATAACTACAAAGGAACATTTAGTAGTCCACTTCATCCCATGGCTTACAAAAATAGCACTCCTTGTGTTTGGGATGTGAGGACACCTATTGGCAGAAGAGTTGCCCTCAAGTTTACTGGTAAAAATAATTAATCGAGACGTAGATGTTTTTTGCACAATTGGTCTTTTTGCCACCTAAAATATTCGGTCTTTTTACTAATAAACAATGCATTTGGTACTACGTGCCCCATTTGTGCAAAAAATRTYACAAGGTCMTAGATTGGTAACAAATATTTTACTGTTGTTTCAGTTTTTGATATACAAGGTGACTGTTCAGAAACGTATGTTAAAGTGACTACTTACGAAAAGGAAACTTCAAATGATCACAAATACTGTAAAAATGTAAGTGACAACATTTTGATATTTTATAGTGTTCATATTCCACCTTGTAGGACGATCCGGCTGTATTGTATTCCAATTCACGTATTTCGATTACGTATCAGTCTTCGCCAAAGAATGATGGTTCAGGATGGATCGCAATATTTGAAGCAGTAAATCAGTAGTTGATGTTATACTGTTTCATGTATGAATTATAATCAATAAATTTGTAAACACTGCTAAATAATTATAAATTTAATCATCTAACTGAACTTTGACAAGTCAAAAGCGGCATCCAAAAACTAAATAACCCTAAATTCATTAAAGCACATTGTGCTTTTATAGAGCCATAAACGACTTCTACGGGAGACGTTAATAAACGCAAATTAGAAAAAAATCTTTTAAAACATTTTTTTTACATATGTAAATTGTTTGAGTTATTTTACAACTAGCATCTCAGTTTACAATGCTAATATATCAATTTACAAACAGTTTGGAAATTAACGGTTTTTTGATCCTTGTCATCTGCGGATCCAAAAACGTGTCACGAGTGGACTTTTTCCACGAGTAGATAAACAATCTTTATTTTTCGACACTGTGAAAATTTACGGTTTTTCTCCCGTGTAAGGAAGTTTTGACAACTGTTTGGAATTTCTCAATACGAAACGTCAGGTTATTTTTAAGAGATTTAAAATAAGCTTAAGCCTTGTTGAGTCTAATTCTAAGAATAAAATGTTGTATTCAACTCGTTTGACTGTAAATCGGATGCTTTATTCCACCTCGTGGATGATAAAGCACTCGTTACACTCGTGGTTTAATAACCCACTCGGTGGGATAATCTGTCCGATTTACACTCAAACTCGTCGTAAATAACTATTATCGTCGTGTATAATATTTCATTTAATTTTGTATACTCACCTACCAGAATTTTTTATGTCTGGCTGATGAATACACTGGTCAAAGTGGAGTAGCTAAAAATTACTTTATTGCACTAGACGTTAAAAGACTACTTTATCTACTGAAATTAGTTGATAAAAGCACTTTTTAACATTGAGTACAAAATAAACGTCATTATTACTATCCTATAACACTGTCTATAATACTGTCGTGTCGTCGCTATTTGGTAAAAAATAAAAATCAAAAATAAACACCATATCGCACGTTGCAACTAGATTATGATTTCTTATATCATAAAAAACAACTTAGCACTCGTATTAGGCTGGCCTTAGGACGTGTTTATACAGAGTGTCCCACGTGACACTTTCTAATATCTGTTATATGCCAACGGATTTAAAATGTAGGCAACTTAAAAGATGGAGATTCAATTACTATTAATAAAATTACCTCAATATAAAAAAAAATAATTTTAACATATTTTCTCAATTTAAAATCGAGCGAAACTATTATTATACAAGGTGCGCCAGAACTCGCGCCCCAGAGAAAAATGCCATATAAGGTTAGATACCAGGAACATGGAAAAAATGTTAAAAAAATGTATCTATAATAATTTCGAAGTTTTGAGGGTTTAAAGTTTGCACTTGACTCTATTTATTTCCGTTGGAAACATAATTTTCCAAGTTTTTTTGCTATAGACTATTAAAAGAGGAAACAAGGAAGCTGTATCCTAAATTGTAACTGTGTTCAATGTTATTTGTGGCTTTTATTGGCAAAATTTTGTCCTTTTATTAAATAATTGTAAAAAAAACATATACAAGATCATTACCATTAAARAGATATAAAAAAATGTCAAATGTCAAAAAATAAATGTCAAAATTTTTTGACAGATAGAATTTTTCAAACATTTTTTTCATGTTCCTGGTATCTTACCTTACTTGAAAATTTTCTCTAGGGCGCGAGTTCTGGCGCACCCTGTAGAGTCAAAGTGCAAATTTTAACTCTCATAACTTCGAAATTTTTATTGAGAGAATTTTTTAATATTTTTCCATGTTCCTGGTATCTTACATTACATGACATTTTCCTCTGGCACATGTTCTGGCGCACCCTGTATAAAATAAATGATAAATAAAATAAAATCAAAACTCCAACAGAATATGCGATTTTTCATTCATTTCATTATTATTACGAGTCTATTATTTTTCTTATTAATGTTTTTTTTAATGAAATTGGAGCACTTTACATCCGCCTAAAATAAACTTTTGAATCATGTTACCATGTAAAACTCCAGAATAAAATAATAAATCTATTATGTTTATACATTAAATAAATAATCACAATATGTATATGATACTTGCAACGCCCCTTAAAAGCGATATTGGGAAAAATGTGTTTGTTTAACATTTACTTTAATCATCTTCCAAAAACAATTGTTAAAGTAAACTAGACTATGGACTATTAGTGTATGTGTGTTTTTAAAATGTTTTTCTTTTGTTTTACTTTATCTTGTTTATACAATTTTGTGTTTGGAGTGAATTATTTTGGGCCACAGTAAGTGTTTCTTTTTTAAAATATTTTAAAGAAAACTTCAGTACTTACGAATTGAGTTTTCATTGTTGCAGACATTTATGTCAGTCAACCGAATCAATTCCTTAATCGTTAGTATTATCGCAATTGTAACGATTTTTTAGTTTTCTTTTATTTCTGGGTATTTTCTGTTTCTAAATTATTCATGTTGTCAAGTTATTTAGAACGTCACAAGTCACTTTTATCAGAAATTTAATAAAATGTATTTTCAAAAAAATAAGTTGGTATAATAAAAATCAGGAGGGTAGACCGGGGCGTAATCGATTTCATTTTCTCATTACCAACATAAAAGTGAAATAAAAAATTCTATCACATTATAAATTGAAACAATTAAAGGGTCTCTAAGTATGGTAGCCTTGAATATTAATTTACATATGTACTTCAACTACACCTCTTAAATGTCATGTTCGAGTGAATTTTCAATTTGACATTGACAGATACATTATTGTCGTCGTTGAAAGTCTTTTTGYTATAATTTGCAAGTATTTTTCTTTTACTGGTTGATTTCTTGCTTTTGTTCTGCGTCTCATTGGTTTCTTATAATAATTCCTTACGATTAAGTAACTTCCATGAAATCAGGCATAAATGCACTTGTGTTAGTGTAAAAAATTGAAATAATGATTAGTCCCCGATAAATATTGGCCCCCCATCATCCTTTATTTATTCCACAAAAATGTTGACAATCTTATAAAAAAAAAACATTCAAATGCTGTTTTAGTACTTTACATATTGTATCTGCTATTACACAAACCACACACTGTAAATAAAATTGTGATTATTTAAGATATTTGAGGTAAATATGAGCGTTAAAAAGTCCATTATTTAATAAAGTAATTAACAGTACAAACTGAAATCGACTCATTATTTTGACTCTCACATAAGTAACTTTCTGGTTTTCATAAGATCAGAATATTATTATTGTTTGTTTTCGAAGGATGTAAGATGCAACTTTGTTTTGTAGACGTTTTAAATTTCAACTTTTTCTTTTTTCTTACCTGGAAGAATGCATAAGATCGTCTATAGCTTTACACCCTTAAAAAATTCAATGTAAGAAATTACTTGTCCACGCTCCTTATGTTTATGATGATTCCTATTTATGAAATACCGATTTTGTATCCGTTTTCTTTTCAACTTACCCACTGTTATTTAGAAAATTGGTTTTATACTAATGTACACTAAAAATTCCGAGTTTTATACAACATCCAAAAACATTGGAAAACATAAGGATGTAATGAATACACTGCAAGTAACGAGCGATCAAAATAATTTGTAATCGAGTCATCTTTGATTCTGAGAACGTATGTCTATGTTTGAACTTACTGCAGGTGAAACGTCAAATAAAATGACAAGTCGAAAGGTAAAATTCCAAAAAGTTTCAAACACAAAATTGAGAGAATTTTCAACAAAGAAAGATACATTGTTCAGTAGCGGTTACAATAAATGCTGAAAATGTCCTCCGTTTTCTTGTTAGCACAAAAGCGCCCTTCGTCTATTCTAACTCCATCTGTCACATTTTGCAGCATATTTGAATCATTATTAATTTCAATAATATTTTCTCTTATTCTTAATCTTAATTCTTCCAAGTTATTCAGAGGTGTGCAATCAATGGAATTTTTTAAATAAGGCCACAAAAAAGTCTAGAGGGGTAAGGTCACAGGATATTTTCTGTATTTTGACTAATAAGTCTATTGTCAAAAAACTCCCGTAACATGGTAATCGTGGTCCTAACCGAATGTGCTAGGACTCCATCTTGTTGAAAATAGCCAAGCATCAATTCGTCATCATGAAGTTCGTTTATGAACGGTTCTAAAATCGCTTGTTAATAACGAACTGCAGTTAATATTCCTGAAGCATGATTAAAAAGATGATGATTTTGATAATTAAATTTATAATTTACCTTCAAAAAAGAACGGTCCTATTATACGTCGGCGGCTAATGCCAGCCCAAACGCCAATTTTTTGTGTATGTAGTGGGGCCTCCACATAAACATGACGTTTTTCAGTATTCCAAATTCTCATGTATTGTGAATTCACATATCCACTTAAGTGAAACCAAACCTCATCCGTAAAGAAGGTTCTCTCTAACAAATCATGGTCAAACGTGTTCAAAAACCAGTTAATCGCAAAGGATGTAATGTTAGATCTTTTTAAGTATTGTTTGAAATGAGTCCACTTGCTGTGTCAGTTGTCGAATAAATGTTGTAGGGGCTTCTTTCATTACATGTTGAACAATCTGAATGTTTTCTGGCGTTCTTTTATCTTTCGCTCTAGCCTGGTTTTCTTTCCAAATTCAATGTTTCTCGAAACTGGCTTACACAACGCTTTAATGTGTTACAAAAATTAGCAAAATCCACAAAATTGTTAGGAAACTGCTCGCGATATTCAGTCCATATTTCTTGAGCAGAGTACTCACAGACGCCGTTCACTTTCTGTCCATTTCGAAAATAAGACTCTATGATGAATGCTTTGTACTCTGATGAAAATGCCACAAATAATAAAAGAACTGATATAATATGTAGAGAACAGAATTTGTTTCACTGGATAAACACAATACGACAACATTTTCTTCGACAGGTACCAAATCCAAAATTAAAGTATTTTTTGTCTACGGATYTCTAAAGATTAAAGTATGTAGTTCTCCGTATCTCTGTCCAAATCATAGAACAACAATTCAAATTTGAAGACTCTCTTAAATTACTTTGAATTACTTATATTAAATATAGTAGAAGAAAACTAGATATCAAATGACGGAGAAGTAATGTTAACACGGTATGGTAATTTTATAATATTTTGGTCTGTTTAGTTGAATATCAGATGTCATTGCGTTAACGATATTACAGTCTCCAAGTTTTCAATAAGGTCCTCTAAGGCCCCCTAGACCGGCGCAAAATACTATTACTATTACTAACTGTGGACGAAAACCGACTTTAGGGATCGAGTAATGCCATTGGAATTTCTTATACAAAAAAGAATTTCATGTGCATGTTTTCATGTTTCATTTTGATAATAAATTTATTGAGTGTTGTTCTGAATTGTCTTCACAACCCATTATTGTGAAACGAATCTTGGCACTAAATGCAGTTCCCACCTTCATTTTAAGCTGCTCTGTTTTATGAAATAATTCCCAATTCAAAGCAACCATTACGTGAGTCATTTCACTGCAAAATTTAACATTTCTATTCCCAAAAATATTCTTCCATAAACAAATTCAGGGGTACCTGGACCTACGAAGTTACTTGATACCCCCAACGGATTCAATAAATTAACATTTTTCAGCTTATTTTCTTACAAATGGAATCTTTTTTATTTATTTCACTTTGCTTTAAAATGTTGAGAGGACTGTCTTCTTCTTCTATTCTAAGACAATGGCCTCAGCTAGGGGCGTGGAAATCCACGTATGGATTGATACGAAAAAACTAGTTATCACGAAAAGTTTTAGAGATTGATATCACTTCACAAAAACGACCTGGGCACATCCGGTGCCATCCGGCCTGGTTACCGGCGTGACAGGTACAAAAATTACAAAAAAGATTCCTTGGTCGCACTCAAATTTGATCAAAAATTTAGACAATCACAAACACTTGTTCGACTGGCTTGACGGCCGCCATTGAACTCCGACAGGACTGTCAACGTAACTGACAGTCCTTCGCCTACCGTGGAGCCATCTGCCCGAATTAATTTTAACCACTTTACGTACTCGGGATTTTGACCGCGTTTTTCTAGGTATCAGCAAGATGTTCGCTTATTTGAAATTCCGAGCAATATGCAACAAAGGCATAAATGGTGCCAAACTTTTGAACTGTTTTGCGGTAAGAAAATTTATGCAGACAATTATAAGGACAGCCTTTTACTTTGTATTTGTAATATTAAAGACATTACAAAAATTACGGAATTACTCAACAAACAAACCACTTTGCAGAAAAATATTGATGTTATAAATTGTTCTAAGCTACCTCGTGTTATGATTTCATGTATTTTTGCAATTCTAAATTATTAGTATTTTGCTAGTCGAGAATGTACCTAAAATAAGCTCGGATCTTGGATATTTTATAGTATTCATGTTTTAATTGATGTTTTAAGCACTTAACTTAAAATAAAAAGTCTAAAAAGTCTCAATCGACTGCGATCGAAATCGGTAGATGGAGCGCAATAAGGTACTGACGCCCGAAATGTCACAGAAACAAAGTTTATATGGAAAAATCGAAAATTGAAACGGCCTTATAAGCGCAGCTTTTTGATTCAGATGGCCTTGGTATAAGTTAATGTACCATAGCTTGAACGTATCTTGGATATGTTGATTCACAAAACATGAGAATTTAGAGTATTGTAAAACTTCATGTTTATGTGGAGGCCCTACTACATCCACAAAAAATTGGCTTTTGAGCTGGAATTAGTCGCCGACGTATAATAGAACCGTTCTTTTTTGAAGGTAAATCATAAATTTAATTATCAAAATCATCATCTTTTTAATCATGCTTCAGGTAAGTACATTAACTGCAGTTCGATATCAACAAGAGATTTTAGAACCGTTCATAAACGAACTTCACGATGACGAATGCTTGGCTATTTTCAATAAGATTGGGCCACAGCACATTCAGCTATAATAGGACCACTGATAATAGACTTATTAGTCAAAATACAGAAAATATCTGACCTTCGATATCCTGTGACCTTACTCCTCCAGACTTTTTTGTTGTATTTATCGCACACCTCTTCATAACTTGCAAGAATTAAGGTTAAGAATAACTGAAAAAGTTAATAAAATTGATAATACTGCGAAATGTGATACATGGAGTTAGACAAAGGGCGCTTTTGTGCTTACAAGTACCTATAAGGTATCAAAAATAGGTACAATGAAAATTTTAGAACTTAATGGGGAATGAAAGGTTATAATCAATAATTATAATCAATAATAAGTAAAAAAAAACTTTTTTTTGTCGAATATCAATAAAAATGTCACTTAACTCTACCAAAATAAAAATAAATTGTAATAAAATTTTAGATTTAGTATTTGTTTGGTATTAGAAATATGTGTAGCATATTTTCCAAACAATTAATTAATTAAAAAGTTGAAGAATTAGTTAAATAAACATTACGTTGTGTTTGTGTTTTATATAAAAAAATCGCTAAAATAGACCAATGAGAGGTACGCCCAGATAAATGGATCAAAGTGTAAACAAAGTGTTTGTTTTGTTACTATGGAAATGCTGACTTCAAAGGGTATATAAAGGAGAACAGGCCGCCACACCGGCAGATTCATTTGACTCTCCTTCCGGACCTCTTTGGACGAAATCACTAGGACCTCTCCTGGTGGAATAACTTCAGGACTTTTTCTGGAGGATTGTACTCTTTGGACATCTTCAAAGAATACGGTCGACGGGACCTTCTTCCGTCGTTAAACCACACCTACCCCAGGACATTTTCGGGGAACCGAGTTTATCACTGGACACGGGCCACGGGATCCCTTCCGTGGTAAAGGGCTTAACATCTGGGACTTCTTCCAGGTGGTGTCACTTCCTGGATCTCTTCAGGAAAACAACCGACGGGACTTCTCCCCTCAAATTTATAGTTACTAAATAAATTTCGGAAAGGCATTCTTATGTAGTGTAGACCTGGAGAACATCTCCAAATAGTTCTTTTCCAACTTTTAGGAAGAAGTTGGTGGCGCCCGGTTTAAATAAGTAAAAAAATAAAAGAAAAGGCATTGCAAAATATTGACGCATGGTGTGAAAAAATGTAATGTCGAAATGTAATGTCATCAAAATTATCTAACATTTTAAAGTCTAATAGTGTTTTTAACAAAGTATATCTCGGTAACTAAAAAACTTTTATTAGATATCACTATTATTATCACTATCTATCATACTTTAAAATTGTGCATTTACCAACCAAGCATAAAACATAATAATTATCCGCAATTTGAGCCAGAAATAATTACATTTATTTCAGACCTAGAATAGTGTCTCAAGATGGCCACCTAATATTTTATGCTGCAGTTCATAAAAATATTAGCTTACAAACTCAAGGAAGAGGAAAAATACACGTTAATGGAATTGACTTATCTCAAACAGCTAAGTTAGTAAGTATTATTAACTTTAAGTCAATAATTATTACGATTAAATTGCTTTTCTTCTAGACGACTAGCGCATTTGAAGCTATGAAAAAATATCAAACAAATTTCGAAAACACTTTTGAAAAAGTTTCAAGATTTGAGCAACTTCTTGACGATGGGTTAATGCAAAAAATAACAACACTGAACGGTAGAACAAATGCCACAATACAATTGCCAGTAAACAGCGCGGTATTTACTAATCTAATCGAAATAAAAAATACATCTAAATGATTTCAGTCTGTGGTACGAAGTGTTCGAAGGTTGAACAGAAGAGTTACTGCTCTCCAAAAATCTGTGAAAATGTTGGCTGAACTTTTAGAAGTTGATGATTGTCAGAGTAATCCTTGTAAAAACGGAGGTACTTGTCAAGATTTATTTAATGCTTTTCTATGTCAATGTCCACCTGAGTGGGAGGTTTGTTTAAAAACCCACAAAGTTTAAAAATTAATTAAAATTTCCAGGGGCCTTTTTGCGACAAAGATGTAAACGAATGTGCCAGATTTGCAGGAACGGATTTAGGGTGTCAAAACGGCGCAACTTGCGTTAACCGGCCAGGTTCATACGAGTAAGCAGCTAATCGAACATTTTCAAAAGTCCTTTTTTCTTTAATAAATTTTTTAAAGGTGTTTGTGTTCCCGTGGATGGTTTGGACTTCACTGCAGACGGCGAAGCGTAGATTGTAGAGAAGGTTCCAATTCAGAGCTTTGTGGTCACGGCACTTGTGTCACACAATATAATGATGTTGGATATAAATGTATTTGTGATGAAGTAATTCTCTTATATGCTTGTGACTTTTCGAATTTATAATCTTATATTTTGCAGGGATGGACAACAGATGGTAAAACTCCAGCTTGTAATACTGATGTTAATGAATGTACATCAAATAAACCTCCTTGTTCTGTTAATCCGCTTGTACAGTGCATTAATCTACCGGGATCTTTCCACTGCGGTAGCTGTCCAGCTGGTAAATAATAATTATAATAGTGTTAATGCGTTTTTAGATTCTGCATTTTTTAAAATAGCATCCAATAATGAAAAAAAAAGTTTCAATCATAGGTTTTTCTATTTTTCGTCTGAAAGAAAGCTTATTTCGATATCAAAAACGATGCTTTAATAAACAATTTACAATTTACTTTATAGAGGTTGGTAATGGTGGTTTTCCGCGGCGTTTGAGCGATTCCTCTTTTTTCAGGTGGTGTGCATGAAATATTTGCAGTATTCATTGTCAATTCAACACAATTTTGAAAAATATTTGAGACTTTACACTTCTAAAATCGAATTTTTCAAACTTTGCGACACTTATTACCAACCATCACCTTATTTGGGCAAAAGTTCCTAAATCTTGAAAAATTGACTTTGATGTTAAGAGTACGTAAATCGCGCAAAATAGAAAAAACAGTATAAAAAACTTGTTTTATAAGTCATTTGTGGAAACTCGTACTTCCCTGCTCGTTTCATAAACCTGGACTCGTTCCACAAAACTTGTCGTTCTTTAATATACTACACTGACGGACACGGAATTTTGGACGATTTGTCATTCGACTGACATAAAAATGTAAAATGAACCTTTTTTTCGGTTTTTGTAATTTTGATCCTGATAGGAAGAGAAAAAATGACAACAAATCAAAATAATTTATTGAATTTATATAAAAACTCATATTGCTGGCATTATTGTTTCGGAAAATCGACGCCAAAAATAAATTTCGAGTAAAACTAGCAAATTTTAGTTTCAAACGTCTCATAATAACATAGCCCAGTCAAATTAGACAAATCGGTAGAAAAAAATCCTAGAGAGTTGGAATTTTTTTTAAACGCTTTTTTTACACTTGGGAAGACATATCAAAAGTCCCCGAAGGTGAGGGGCGAGCTCGAGAAGGGGGAGGGGGTTAAAGGTGTCTTTTTTTGGTTTTTTGCTTATATCTCGGAAATTATCACTCCTATAGATTTTTATCATCTTATCCAAATTAAAGCTTATAAAATTTCCTACAAAAATGGTCCTTTGAATTTTTGTTGTAGGACTAACCGTAAGCGAGTTATAAGGCAGACAAAAAACATCATTTAAAAAACTGTGCTTTATCTGCATTTAAAACAGAATTTGTCTTGTAATTTAAAAACAACTGACAGTAAATTGAATTTGCTGGGTCCAATACTTCATTAAAGGAAGGGGGAATCACGAGGGTCCATAAATACAAACTCATCGTTTATGTAATTTATGCAGAATTTTCTGTAGAAGTCTATTTCTGCATCAAAATTTCCTACAAAAATGGTCCTATTCATTTTTGTCGTAGGACTAAGCGTAGGCTTCAAAAGTTTGGAGTCTACATAAAATTGCATTAAAAATCTTTGAAACACATTTCATTAGTATATGGTAAGTATTTATATGTGTAGAGCGTTCCCCAACTAAGCTGGTCTGCCTGAAAGGTGACTCGGGTGTAAACATTTAAACGGAGATGTAAATAAAAATTTTGGATGAAAGAGAGAATCAATCTGTAAGGGGGTTAAATGGGGTGTAAAAGTTTAAACAAAGATATAAACATTAAATTCTTTAGAGGTGTAAAAGTGTAAAATCAGATTTTTCGAAAATTAGTTTTTAACGAAATAAAACGATGTACACATTTAAAGGGATATAAAAACATTAAATTTAGAAAATATGATCCTTAGAGAGTGTAGAAATAAACTTTTTAAATTTTAATGTAATAAAGTAGAGTTTAAACACTTAAAAAATTAGAAACATGAAATTTCAATTTTGAGAGTGCAGAAGTGCACTAAGACGACACTTTATGAAAATCAACATTTAATACTTACCCATAAACATAGTCCATGCGAAGAACGAGACTACTATAACTGAATCCCATACATAACATAGCTAGTTATCCAGCTTTACAGAGTACCTAAGCCTATGGAATGGTTTTGTGAACGGGCTTTCTCCCATTTTATATCAGAAATACACGCGGACAAAGTCGCAGGCAAATGCTAGTTCAGCATATAAGGATGACTCGGAAGACTTGATAGACCGTTGTGGCACCTTCTAATATACTGTTGGATCCAATACATTCAATTTACTGTAAGCTTTATTCAAGTCATCGATATTAAATCATCTATTTATTAATATTGTACTGAACAAGACTGTAATTCGGTTTTCAATGTTTAAGTAGAAGACGAAGATGCAGAATATGAGGACGACTCGGAAGACTTTATACACTCTCTAATGAAGTGTTGCACCCAATAAATTCAATTTGCTTTCAGTTTTTTTCAAATCACAAGATTAATTCTGTTTTAAATGCGGATAAAACACATTTTTTTAAATGATGTTTTTTGTCAACCTATAACTCGCTTACAGTTAGTCCTACAACAAGAATGCAAAGGACCATTTTTGTAGGAAATTTTGTAGGCTTTAATTTTGATAAGCAGGCAAAAACCGTTAGGAGTAATAGTTTCCGAGATATAAGCAAAAAAACAAAAAAAGACACCTTTAGCCCCCTCCCCCTTATCGAGCTCAACCCCCACCATCGGGGACTTTTGATATATGTCTACCCAAGAATAAAGAAAGCGTTTAAAAAAATCCAACTCTCTAGGATTTTTTTCTACCGATCGCCCTATTTTTGTCTAATTTGACTGGGCTAACAGTAAAGCGTGGCTTACATTGACATTTTTTGAACTGACATTTTGATATCCAAAATTCCGTGTCCCCCAATGTACATATTTTATACAAAAGGTTTACATCACACGTGCTAATGAATTTTTTTTTGGTACTAATTTTCCCAGTCATCAAAGATCATTGAGTTTGTTCAGTTAGAGTAGCTAATTAAGAAATCCAGAATCTGGCAAAATTTTTGTTTGTTTTTCAAAACCTTCAACTATTAAATAAGTAATTTCTAATTATTAATAAAATCATTCCAAAAAAACTGTTAATGGAATCTTCAAGAAAAACGCGTTGTTTTTGAATATAAAGTGTCCTTAGAGTAACTTTTGTGGCTACTCTTTACGAAAATATTAGAACTATTCATATATATGAGTAAAATACTTTTATAAAAAAGTTTCAATATATTCACTTTCTCAGTGACGATGGCTTTAATAACGTAAACCACTTAATGAAATGCAAATAAATACCACTAGTTCAATCAAATTTCTGATTACCTTACATGGCATTTTTCTCTAGGGTGCGAATTTTGGGGCATCCTGTATAAGGTGCCGATTTTAACTATCTTTTTATTCTTTTAGGATACACTGGCAATGGCTACTACTGTACAGACATTGACGAGTGCAGTACAACATTAAACGGGGGATGTAGTACCAATCCAATGGTACAGTGTATCAACACTCTTGTAAACACTATAATAATTTCCAGTCGCATTGCTTTTTAACACTCTTTTGTTAGGGATCGAGATTTTGCGGAAGTTGTCCTCCTGGATACGTAGGAGATGGAGTAACCTGTTCATATCAAGGAGTATGTAGCGTAAATAATGGGGGTTGTCACTCTTTGGCAACTTGCAGAAGTAACCCAAGTAAGTAAATACAACAGATTTATTTTGTGTGGGAAATTAATATTTTTTTATTTAGGGATTAGTTCTACTTTTGTCGAATGTATTTGCCCTAATGACTACACCGGTAATGGAATTGGACTTAATGGTTGTGTCCGTTCGTTGCCTGCAGCTCAAGGTCCTTGTACGTCAAATCCTTGTAGACGTGGATTTTGCAGAGTTACTAATGGGACCGATTACACGTGCCACTGTCCCAGAAGATATACAGGTAGGTATTCAATCATATACTTTTTTCTATGCAATCAGAATACAATACGTTTTATTACATTTTAGATATGAATAAATGAATTTCAGAACAGATGATCTGTGATTTTAAAATTAAGTTGCCAATATTGAATAATGTAGAAATGAGGAGATATGAGACTTGTCAATTTTTTTATCCACCGTTTCTTCGTTATTCTGTGTTGCCGACTTAATTTCGATAACACAGGTCAGGTCAGGTCATTTTTGCTATATCATTTTCATTAAAACTTTTTTTGTCTAAACTGTTCTGTAATTTGTTATTTCCTACGACCATATACATAAGTAGATCATAACACACAATTACATATGCACGAAAATTGGCAAAATCGTACGAGGTCGACTTGTTTTCGCACTGTGTGTTAGAAATCTAACGCACAATTCACACTCGAATGTTTTGTATTTTTTCATTCAACGTATGATTTTTGTATCCATTATAAAAAATAAATCGTTATGAAAAAAAAATATGTTCGTAAGAAAAAAAATATTTATGGTCGTAGGAAAAATAGTGAAAAGAGAGAAGAAAAAAAAAAATTAAGTACGGTTCTCTAAAATGATAAAAAATAAAAATTAACCATTTTTCTTCCTTGACAATCGTTGACCAAATCAATTTTTGATATAATAATATCTATTAATAGTTATCAAACTAACTTACAATAATTTATTAGGTAAAAACTGTGAAAAATTCCGTGATTTATGTGCTTCCAACCCGTGCCAAAATGGAGCAACTTGTACTTCATTGTTGGGCACATCTTATCGGTGTTCCTGTCCATCGGCTTATACAGGACTGCGTTGTGAAACTCAAAAGCAAGGTAAAAATTAAATTTAAACACCTCAAATTTTATCAAAAATTTCTTATAGATTGTGGTGGTCGATTGGTGGGAGAAACTGGTGCATTGGTTTTTCCTTCGGGTTCTTCACAGACTTACGGAAGTGCAATGAGTTGCGCTTGGATCATAGAAACAAATGTTACCAAAGTCCTAAATATCACTTTCAAACGTTTTGATGTCGAAGGATCCCATGGTTGTCGTTATGATTGGCTACAGGTGATAAAACTGACTAAAAGAAGAATTATAGAAAAAGAAATTTTTAGATACATGATGGGAAAAATACACTAGCACGATCTTTGGGTAGATTTTGTGGGCACCAGTTACCAAATGGCGGAAATATTGTTACGACTCATAATACTGTCTATCTGTGGTTTAGATCGGACCATTCTGTTGCAGCGGAAGGTTTTGAATTAAACTGGACATCGATTGTACCATGTATTACTTCCACATACACAGTGATTTATAATTATAATAGAAGTGAAAACCATTGGCATAGGGTGAAGGTTATTTAAGAAAAAATATGAAATCCATAATACAAAAATTGAAGCCTATAAAGGCAATGTTTTTTCTTTTGTAATTTATTTCTTAAAAAAGTTTTCCCGGGCAAGTGCCAAGGTTTTACTGGCTATTATACACATAATCACACTGCTTTTAAACTCATATTACGATTTTTCAGTTTGTGGAGACCAATTGAAAGAAGTGATTTCTCATGGAATTATCCAGTCGCCCGGATCTCCTGGCAACTACCCAAATAATCGGTAATTAGCATATTTTTATTATGACTGAAAAAAATCATTTAAAGCCCGACGCACAGAGGCATCTACAGACTATAATTTTTAATTAAATTCTGCAGGGTGTAACAAAACTCGTGAAATAATTCATTTAAATTAAAACTTCGAATATGTTCACACACATACGAGTATACATACAGAGTGGTCCAAAACTCTGGAAACGATTTTATTCTGGCGATACTATCAATTTTTTTGGCAATTAAATTTATAGGTGTACAATGGCTATAAAAATGCTATTCAAAAAAATTGATTATTAATAATTGTTTATAAGGTCAAGTGGGGCAAATGCGAGGGCCATAACTAAATTTGTAAATTCAATTTCATATGGCTCATTCAGTATTTAGTTTAAAGTATTTACATCATTATTTCAAGTATTTAGTAATGGGAAAAAATATTTTTTCAAAAAAATAGGTACCTAAATGAAGCACCATGCCTCATTATTACATTTACCCCGTGTAAAGGGGCAAATGTAATATTCATATCGCATTTAGTAACAGTGTCTACAGATTGGATTCTGGGGTAACACAAATAAAAGTGAAATAAAAAGAAAAAAAGTAGTTTTTATTTTAGAGAGATCAGACAATCATAACCAAAGTTAGAAACTTTTCAAAAAATAACCTTTTACTTATTCTAATTTTCTAAGTGTATCAATCAAGAAATAATCATGTTTCGGAACTTAAAATCGAAAGTTGTTATTCCACGTCCGGTAACTTCTGGACTGGGTAGAATATGAAAAATAAATGTGATAATCCTATATTACATTTGCCCCAGGGAAACAAAATTCAGGGGCAAATGCAATAACGAATGTAAACGGTAGCAGACATACTAAAAATACAGGGTGTTTGAGGATTGRGAGCAAATATTTTAACCACTAATAGAACTCGGCAAAAGAAGCAACTTTCCTTATTCCAACTTTTGTCGAAAGCACGTCATTTCTGAGTTAAAATTAAAAATAAATTGAAGCTGAAAACCCGTCCCCGCCTATGTGTTAATACTATGTTTACGTTAATTCATAAGAAAAAACTTTGGAACGTAAACAGCGTAAAGACAAAAAATTATCGCTACATTAGGGTAGATCAGTGTCAATGTTAGTGGGTGAATACTTGCTATTATAAAAAATTGCTCGAAATGTGGTCATTCGTTGGCAATGCACACTTCTTGTACTTTTCGGGCTAGGGAAGCTTGCGTTCGCACACACAACCCTTCGAAGGTATAAATTTGAGCTGCGTAAACTAATTCACTAATTGTTTTATGTGCACCCACAAAAAAACACACGTATTTAAATCTGGTGACCGCGATGGTCATTGGCGACCCATCCATTTCTAGGGAAAATGATTGTTCTATCCATTGGTGACGACTTTGGCATAATCTAATAATGACTTGATTGACAATTTGATTTCAAATCGATGTGCACAATTCACCCGAAAGCGCATTAACGGCTAACTAAACTGACACGTGTAAAAAATTGGATACGGAATTTGTTTGGTCTTCAATTCGACTTTTCATAACAAATGCTCTTAGTGGTTAAAATATTTGCTCGCAATCCACAAACACCCTGTATATGAAAAAAACAACTTTACAACACTTATGTTATCATAATATTACAAGACAAACCAAAAACTTACCTTAAAACTTCATATGAATCTTGATGAAAAATTAGCTTATAAATTTACATACCATGCCTTTAGAAGGACCCTCACGAAATGACACCTCACATTTAGTTATTCGTCGGTAAAACAGTATCAGCAAGTGCTTAGCTTACAGTCGATGAAATAGGTGTTACACATTCACGGGGCACCGGATAATGAATGAATCATTGCCCTTCCGTACCGCCTTGTCATTCTCGCGCTCGTCATTGCAGCCAACCGTCCAAATGTCCGTTTCAGTCTGCCACGCTACTTGCAGCCTGCGCCCTCGCAGGAGAGCTGGGATTACCTAAAAAACAAACACAAATTCAGTAACATGTCACGAGCTAATAGTTATACCAATTCCTGTAACCCCAAAAGTCATGCAACACAAATACAATCACTATTTCTCGACACTCATCTGCTAGAAGAATGCACATGGGAAGAACTCGAATCCTCAAACTCTACCTGCAAAATAAAACCTGAAATGGGACTCCATAACATACACAGAAAAACGCTTATTCAGTGTTCTTCTACCCTTCACCTCCCCAAGTTAGTAAATCGTCATTGTGGCCTCTGCCACATTTCATCAACTTTATCAAATCAAGTCAAGTCAAGTCACAAGTCGTGTACTCGACAACTCTCTCTGGCTGCTTAGCCATCTTTCATCTCAACTGCTTTACACAAGCTTCGAGTCATGACTCTCAACTTTCAACTCCAATCACTTTGATTCTCTTAACATCTGAATTTATTCATAACAATGCTAGCTTCAACTTTACCCCTAGCACTACCTACAGGTTCGCTATCACTCTCTGATTCGTCAACTACGAAAGGTTTCATTCTGTCTACTGCACAAACACTCTTATATGAATTTTGTGACCTACTCGCCCCAGGCAAGTCTTCAATATAGTATCTATCGTGTGTAGTAACACCTTTTTCCACAACAAATGGCCCCTGATACTTTGCAAGAGTCTTCTTACTCCTTCCATCATTAGTGGACACGTTTCTTCTGATCAGCACTTGCTGATCCTCCTCAAACACATTAGGCTTACGTCGCCTAGCGTCAAAATTTTTCTTTTCCTTTTCTTGTTCCTTCTCAATCTTCTCTAAAGCTCTCTTTCTTAACTCTTCTACCGGTTCTCGTGCACGATCTACCTCTATATCTACTTCTACAGCATGCTGTATAAAAGCATCTCCAACAGCTTTCGGCCAATAACCAAACAACAGTTCATAAGTACTTTTGCCAGTGGCACAATTCACGACATTGTTCAGCGAGAATCGAACCTTATCCACTATTCGGTCCCACTGTTCGGTTATACCTCTCGACTTATCCATTTGCACTATCTTAAATCCACACTTACGTGAAAACTCAAGAAACTGCTTACTCTTAAATGAGGTTCCTCTATCACGAATCACTCGTCTAGATACTCCAAAAGTACCAAAAATCTCGTCCAAAAACTTCAAAACTGGCCCCACTTTTGTACTCTGGACAGCCCTCAAAAACACGAATTTTGTAAAAGCCTCTACCACAACCAGCAAATAAAAAATTTTCTTTTTTGTTTGTACGAATGGACCAAGGTGATCAAGGTGATGAATCGTGTCCATCGGCGTACTCACTTTCTTAATGGGATTCAAATATCCAGGCTTAACCCCAGCTGGTTGGTTATTGTACTAGCAGTCTAAAGATGCAGTCACGTGTTTCTTTATGTACCGTCTTATGCCCGGAAACCAATAGTATCTCTTCACAAGTTCTAAAGTCTTCTCAACACCAAAAATTTGTCTACGTACCACTTTCGGTACCAACCATCTTAGTCCCGCTTCTGTTTTCCGATATACTATGCTATTCACGAGTTCGTACTCGACATGTATTCGTCTTTTCTTCAAATCACCAGGTTCCTTCCCCAGTACCTCTTTCAAATATACACATCTTGGATCTTGTAATTGGACGGCAAGTATCCGGTCATCATCGCTTATGTTCACCTCAGATACTGACACCATTTCTTCGTTAAGAGGATTCCTACTGAGAGCGTTGTACTGTCCGTACCCGGTGCTTATGGGTCCGACAGATCGAGGATGACCAAGGGTTTCAACAGATCAAAGGGATAACGTTCAAGTAGCTTTTTTTTCGCCATCTTGTTACAGGCACTTACTTTTATTAGCGCATGCTCGCTTATAGTTTTGGGGGAGCGGAACATTTAAACATTACATTTCCTTCCCATCTTTAATAATTGAATAAAATAAAAATGAAACTTCTAACCAATTAAAATTAAAAATTCTTATACTGTAGAACAAACTTTCACCTTGCACTTCACACAAAATCGGTGAGATATCTCAGAGATTTCCGTTGGCGAATGGGTCGACCACTAGGGGTGTTTGATGTCGCTCTGGGGGTGTTAGGTGTTGTTCTAGGAGTGTTGGGTGTCGCTCTGGAAGTGTCGGGTGTCGTTCTTTCTCTTGAGGGTGTTGGAGGCGGTGATGCAATCAGCGGCAAAGGCATTGATAGTTTTGAGCGTGCAGAGTTTGGTGACGTGAAAGGTGTTCGTGACAGAGGATTTGGGGATGGTGTTTTGGTGTGTGGCGGAACGAAGAGTTTAAAAAAGGATGAGTTCCTGAGTATTTTTTTGTTTTCTCGTTCAGCTTCTTTTTGCGATCCTCTTATCTTCACGATTTTATATGGTGGTCGTAACACGGTGTAAATGCATTAATTTTTCGTTGCTTGCAGAGAACTGTACCTCCGATTTTGAAGAAGATAGTCTTTGGCTTTCTTCTGGCGTTAGCTCTGTCGTTTTGATCCTGTCTATTTTGTTTTTCTATTTTAGTATTGTATTTGGATGATTTCTTTTTTTCGTCGGCCACATGAGGTAAAAAGGACTTAATTTTTCTACCAAACATAAGTTCATACGGTGTTTTCTCTATAATTTGATGAGGGCAGTCTTGATAATTTATTAAAAATCCATGTATTAGTGAGCTATAGTTGTGTTTTTCGAAGTTGAGGCAGCAAATGGATTTTTTTATGGTTTTAACAAACCTTTCCACCATTCCGTTTGCTTCGGGCCAATACGGGGTGACTGGATGATGTTTGATGTTATAGTTTTGTAGAAACCTTTGGAAACCTGCTCCGTTGAATGGAGGTCCGTTGTCCGACTTTAACATTTAAAACCGAACGTGGCAAAAATATTATTCAGAATGAGTTCTAAATTTTTAAAGCTGGTTGATGTTACGAACTCTGCAAAAGGAAATCTTGTATATTCGTCTACTAGTAAGAATACCTATTTTCCATCTGGAAAAAGATCTGCGAAGTCTACGTCGACTGATTCAAACGGGTATATCGTGCTATCTGTGGTACGTGTTGGTTCTTTATTGCATACCGGAGTTGTAACTTGACAAGCTAAACAGCTTTTAACAGTCTTTTTACTAGTTTATCGAGTTTCTGGAACCATACTTTTGTTCTAAGAAGCTGTTTTGTTTTTACGACGCCTAGATGACCTGTATGTGCTAATTCAACTGTTTTTTCCTGAAGACTTGATGGCAAGATTAGTCTGTGTTGTCTTAATAAGAGTTCGTCGATGACTGATATTTCTCGTTGAATATTTTTAAACGGATTCAAATTCTCTTCTTGCCATGGTTTGTGGTCGTTTTCGGTAATTGTTCGTTTTACTTTTTGAAGAGTGGGGTCTTTGTTCGTTTCTTCTTTTTTTGTGGATAGGACATGTGGTGTTGCACATTTTAGTACGAACCTAGCACATTCTTCAATTCGCAAAGTTTGTTCAACTTACAAGTGTCAACATGACTCATCTTCGTTCCAGCCCTGTACTCAACTACAAAGTCAAAGTCTTGAATTTGTAACCACCATTGACCAATTCGTGGTAACAAATCGCGTTTCGTCTACGTGGTTCTAATTCCATTATAATCCGTAACAACCTTGAACTTCATACCCAACAGATAAACTCAAAATTGCTTCAGGGACTCGACGACAGCCAACGTTTCCAATTCATACGAATGGTACCTTTGTTCTTCTTTCGTGGTCTGTCTGCTAAAATACTGGACATTGGTGCAGTTCGTTCTGCCCTTGCATCAGTATACCGCTTATTCCCTCCCCATTTTGAAGTGTCAGTATGAACTTCAGTTCTCATTATCGGATTATACAAAGTTATTTACAAATCAAAGCTTCAATTCTTTGAAGGCTTCTTCCTGCTCATTGGTCCACTCAAAAGTTACGTTCTTTCGAGTCAACTTTGTCAAAAAACGCGCAATCAGAGTAAAGTTCTTAATATACCGTCTGAAATAAGACCAATAAATTGTCGGACGTGGCGTACGTTTCCTGGAGTTGGAAACTGCTCAACAGACTTCACTTTCTTTGTTCCAGGTTTGATTCCTTCCCGTCTCACTTCATGGCTTAAGTAGTTGATTCTGTCTTGAAAGAAAAAGCACTTTGACAGTTTAAGTGTTTGTCTTCTTAAATGTTACGAAAACGTTTCTAAGAGCTTCAATACCTGTCTCAAGGTCTATAGAAGGTATCAAGATATCATCCATGGATGCCAATGCTTGTGTAAAACTCAGAGGACTTAGTACTTTATTCACCGTTCTTTGGAAGACTGCCGGAGCATTTATCAATCGTATTTGAAATGTCCATCTGAAGTAATGAAATTGGCAATTGAATTCTCGGCTACAGATATCTGGTGTTACTCTGCGGCCAAATCTAACGTGATAAAAAATCGACGACCAGCAAAGCGATCCAAATGCTCATCAGCTCTAGGTATTGGAAAACTGTCCTTCACCCTCTTTGCGTACCGTGCCCTATAATCCATACATAGTCGCAAATCACCGGTCTTTGTTTTCACGACCAATGTTGGACTCGAATACGGAGAAGTACTCTCTCTAATAATGCCATTCTCTAATAATTCTTTAACAATTTCTTGGACTTGAATTTTCTCAGAGAAAGACAACCTATAGGGTCTATAGGTTACTGGTTTGTCAACCTTCAAATTAATTTCCTACTCGACTCCTGAATACTTTCCCAATTCGCCCATCGACATGGCAAAACATTCACGAAACTTGTTAAGCAAATTAAGCAAACTTTGCTTTTGTTCAATGCTCAACCCTTTGCTATCTTGACTTCTATATCTTCGAAAGTTAATGGCTGTCTGAGAACCATATTTAATGCTTCAAGCTCCTCACTACTTTCTTCTCGACAGCAAATTACTCCTCTCGCTACTACTTATCCTATATATTCATTGTAGACAGCGCACCCCTCGGGACTGACAACACACATTGCGTTATGGAGTGTTCACTTCTAGGTAAAGTTCTCATTTTACCCTCAACGAACACTTCACCTTCTATTCCTTCATTTGCCAACACCTCAGCATACCCAACATAATTTGCAGAAATGACAGTGGTCTCCATCGCACACAAGGTAACTTTCCTTGGAGGTAATAACTCGAAATCTTGACCTATGACTTTGAGTAGATAAAATTCAATTTTAACATAGAAGATTGAATAAAAGAATTTTTTTGAGTAAACTACCAGTTTTTTTTTCGWAATAAATAAATAAATGTTTAAAGGTTGTAAGGAAGCGATGCCAAAATATTTTTTATTTTAATTAATTGTTTAAACTTTTGAGATTACCATAGTAATAATGTTTTTCTTAAATAAAAACGGTTTTTTATTTATTGTTTTACAATGTACAATGTTTTATAAATATAGAAAAAATGTTACAATTTATGTTAAAAAAAAAACATAAACTTTCTTGAAGGTAAATCATAAATTTAGTTATTAAAATTTTCATCTTTTTGATCATGCCATTTTACCTTTCAACTTGACATCTTATTTGACGTTTCACAGACATACGTTTTCGGGTCCAAAGATGACTCGATTACAAATTATCTTGATCAGGGGCATTATTATCGGGGGGCAGAGGGGGACAATGCGCCCCCTCCCTGTCTATAATTACCCCATCTGGATTATAAAGTGACCCTTTAACTGACCCTTTGTATTATTTAAATTACCGTTACAGTTAGTTACATACCTGTGTGTTAAATTATTATTATATAGCGTTATATTTATAATTTTTAAAGCTTACTCATGGGCTAATCAATTAACTTACTGCCCCCCTCAAGAATATTTCAAATGACGCCCCTGATCTTGATGTCTCAATATATGGGGTGTCAAAAAAACTGTGATTACGTCACTATTTCTGACATATGACAACAAAACTTAAACTTCATTGGCGTCTAACTACACCTTATGGTTACATTTTTTACCCTTTCAAGCGTTTTTACGAAAAAAACATTTACCCTTTGAATAAAATTCTTAAATTTCACTTTATAAGTAACGTGTTAAAAAATTATACCACAATTTTGACGCCTAAATGTTTAATTTAATCAGTAAAAAAATAGGGTTTCCAGTAAAAAAAATTACTTGTTTGAAGATTTTTTCAAGAAATGAATAGTTTTAATTAAATTTATTCACGAGTTTTGTTATACTCTGTACATTTTGTTAAAATTTAACAAATATTTATGTATACAGTGACTGTTATTGGCCACTCCAAGCTCCAGCAGGAAAACGCCTTGTATTCAATTTCTTCACTCTGATGATTGGAAATAACTCAGCCTGTGATCATGATTATTTAGAAGTAAATTTACCATCACTTATCAAATAAAAATTCAACAATTTTTTTTAAGTTTATTATTGGAACTGAACCATCAGATCCAGTTTTCGCCAAATTTTGTAATACAACTCATCCGTCTCCACTATTTTCTCCTTCTGCCGAGGTTTTGGTCCATTTCCACTCTGATATGGATAAAAGCTACCCAGGATTTCAAATTACATATTTTGTAGTCGAAGGAATGCCGGGATGTGGGGGAGTTTACACGAGATATCAAGATGAAATTCGGTCTCCCGTGTATAACGGAAATTACCCGAACGATATTCAGTGTGAATATAAAATCCAACTGTCGACAAGTACACGAATAAAATTAACTTTTCTTTCGTTTGATGTCGAAGATTCTGAAGAGTGCCAATTCGATTATGTTGCAGTAAGTTTATACATATGTCTCTTATTATCGTTCATCTCTTGATTCTGATTCTGATGGCCGTTTTTGACGGCCGTTTTGGTAAGTATTTATATTGGACGTTTTAAAATCCTTAAAAAAAATTAAATGAAAAATTGTTTCAGGGTCAAATACAACTTTTCTTTTTTGCGTTAAAGTATGTCTCCGGATTTTTATTCTTTGACACTGTCAAAATTTACGGTTTTTTTCCCGTGTAAGGAAGTTTTGACAACTGTTTGGCATTTCTCGATACGAAACGTCAGATTATTTTATTCTAGGTAGATTTCTTTTCTAGTGCCCCTCGTATATTCCTGAGGTGCCAAAGGAATAATAGCATTTCTCTCCAGTGCTGTATATACTATTTTTCGCACGACTTGAGTTAAAAAAAACACAAGAAATTGGCGTAATTCTTTAATACATTTTAAAAATTTGCATTAAAAAAATACACCCTGGTAACAATAAAAATGTTTGTTGACAATGAGCCTGTCAATGAAGGGGAATGACTTAGTAACGAAAGCAAATATTTGCTCCCATCGTTATGCTTATTTCTCTCCCTCAGAAGAGAATTTTAACTTCTGTCATAGTTTGACATAAGAAAATTTGATTTCTACTCCCCCTCGCCCAAAAAGTTTTTTTCCTATATAGAATTTCGAAAATCTTCTACATTAGGCACCTGAGATAATATTAAAAACGGAAAAGTTGTTAAAAATGATTGCAATAAATTTTTTGTTTCTAAAAATAGGGATATTTTAAAGCTAACTAGACTGATTTGTTATTAGCAACATTATGTTTAAAACTGCAACTGCATCTTTAGAACGAACATTATAATATGCAATATACATCTAAGTCTCAGGGATAAAAAATGACCTAATATTTTATGTTGCCTTCTGAAAATCAAGAAAAGATCATCTTCTTGTAAACAAGATTAACAGTGAGATTAAGTACAAAATTTTCTAGATTTACGCGGGTACTACAGTTGATGCTCCCCTAATTGGCAAGTATTGTGGGCAAAACGTACCCTCACCATATATCACCGAAAAAGGTCAAGTTTTAATTGTGTTTAAAACCGATTGGAGTACTAGTGGAGAAGGCTTTGCTCTTCGATATGAGACTGGTTTGAAATAAACAAACGGTCTATGAAAATCACTTAATTTAATTAATTTTAGTTTGTGGAGGAACTTACACTGCACCTTCTGGTGTAATAGAATCTCCAGGTTATCCAAACAAATACGATCATTCTTTGGAATGCATCTACGAAATAGTACAACCTCTTGGAAATATCATTAAACTAAATATCGTTGATCTGGATTTAGAGAGTAACATAAATACCCATTGCATCTTCCACTTTTTGGAAGTAGGTATCGCTATTTTTGAGAATTTTTTAAAAATATTTTTCAGATAAGAGACGGCCACGACAAAAACTCAACACTAATAGGAACCTACTGCGTCAACAATGTACCTTTGATAGTGTCAACTTACAATTACTTATGGATAAGATTCACATCGGATTCCATTAATAAGGGAAAGGGATTTAGAGCATATTACACAACCACTAATTTTGGTAAGTAAATACAGGGTAAGTCAAAACGCAAAATAAGGTAAATAAAACTTTTTTATTTATTGACAGGCGTGACGTCATCAAATGTATTGTCCGCATTTGGTGACATCAGTCCAAATTATTTAAAAATTTATTTAAAGTTTATTCGTAAAATATTTCGGTAACTAAATAACATTTATAGAACTAGAACTGTTTTTCACTATTAATTATTAAATCATTTTTTGACAAAATTAACACTATGTATTTTTTAATGTTTTTTAAATAAAAATTGTTTTTCTTTAATCAATAAAACCATTTGTAAAAACAAAGTTATCGCAGCCATACCTTCCGCTGTTTATGAGAAGTGTTTTGATGATTGAGTTAAAAGTTGTCGCTTCAGATGGAATTTAGTTTGAAAGAAATCAAATAAAAATTGATCAATAATAACGTAGTACTATTTTATTTAAATTTTTCCGGTACTTTTTGTACATAATGTATGTTAAAAAATAGCAATACATATTGACAATCAACACGATTTCGAAATTTCATTTTGCGTTGTGTTTCATATTATTTCTTATGTCCGACTGAATAATAAAGTCTTGCTTTACTTTACTTGCTTTAAATCGTTAAAAATAATCTGACGTTTCGTATTGAGAAATGCCAAACAGTCGTCAAAACTTCCTTACAAAGGAGAAAAACCGTAAATTTTGACAGTGTGACAGTGTCGACCACGATCGTAAAATAGACAGGTCTGGAAACTCCATTCATAAATACGTTTGAAAATTGAATTATTTTTTCTGAATCGCAGGTGGTTATGGAGCAAGGATGGTAGACATACGTCTACCATCCTTGGTTATGGAGGGCAACTATACCCGTGGCGCCTTCACGTGGTGATTTTATTAATTCACTGTTTGACAGCATTTTGGCAGCTAACCACAAATTTAAAAAGCAAATTTTTCTCTATTTCCAACTTTTCTAAATATTTTAGCCGCTTGTGCACAGTTTTTCGGTGTTTTAGGATGGTTTTCTTTGATTTATACTTCATGTTTTCTTGGTTAATATCTTGTTTTCTTTCGTTCTGTTTATCTTGATTTCTTATCTAACTTAAATATTAAAAAATTTTTTTGGTTTTGAGTTTGTCGTTCAATGTTTTTGGCAATCAAAAAGGTAAATATATATGGTTTTTATATCTTGTTTACACAAAAACACTTCTGCAGATGCCCAGAATTTGTGCTGTTTTCCATTGCACGACTAAATGAAGTAGTAAACAATTGTGTTTTTTTTTTTGGGTGAAAGAAAAATTGGACCTAAGGACAAGGGATGAAATTCTAAATACTGTACTGCAAAGAAAAGACAGAAGCTGTCAATTACATTTTGAGAAGCAAGATACAAAATTAGAGAGAAAACATTAAAACATTTAACATTGAAGCGTTTAATCGACTAGGGTTTTGAGTTTTGACATATTTATAGTCTAAAAAGTAATATTTTGTCTTTAAAGTCCTATAGATAAATGAGTCCACAAATGAATCAAGTTTTTAAAAAATTATTTATTTCTTTACTCTGTTTACAAAGTGCCCGCTCACCACTAAAATAGATTCTGAAATTGTCTTTATTGTGACTGTGGTTTTCTTTATTATTCAAAAAATCTTGCTGTACACGAAGTGGGTCCCGACCATTGTGTTTCTGACCAAGTAAAAAACACCATCTTTATAAGTCTTGGAAGATTGTCTTTACAAAATCCTTTTACATTGTACATTTTGCACCAACCTTGATCGCTACATTATTAGTTAGAATTGGATAACTAAAAAATAACTTATGTATAAAAGTTACTTACTATAACATTATTTATTTGTTGTTTTATTTCTTCAATAACACTTCTTTTCCACGTCTTTTTTAAAAGTCTTGCATTATTATCATCTAGGTAGCATCTTGTGTAAAGATCAATAACAGCAATGTTTTCTACTCTTTTTTTTTTTCTATTAGATGGTAAGGTGGCAATTAATAAATGCTGTGGATTGACTTGATAGCATGACCGTTATTCTAAAAGGTGCAGATTTGTTTAAAAGTTAAAGGATGTTTCCTATCATCAAGTGTAAAACCAAACCAAAAACCTCCTCGATGACTAAATAAATGAAACGGCACTTAGCTGCCACTTTTATTAAACATATTGTACTTTATATGTGGCGCTTATTAAGATGTTTTTTGCACATTTTTTAACAATTTTGACAAGCCCACAGTAACCTAACAAATTATGACAAGCGCTAATTTAATATTTGACATTATTTACGCACGGAGACGTCATTTTTCGTTCATAAATACGCAGTAATTAACGTAGTATCCAATAGAGGCACCACGGGTATAGTTGCCCTCAAAACCTACTGAGATCCAAATTTTTTAATTCAATTTTGAAACACGAGTTTCCAGACCTGTCTATTTTACGATCGTGGTGTCGACATAAAGCTTTGTACGCAATTCGTACATAATTAGGCTTTTTGGACTTGTACAATAAATGAACAAAAACACGATTAGCCCGTCACACCAAACTTTTATTTAAAACACAACGCGTTTCAACCACAAAGTTCTTCTTACAGGGGAGAAAAACCGTAAATTTTGACAGTGTCGAAGAATAAAAAAAATTATATATATAAATATTTCAAAGTTATGAGAATTAAAATTTTGTATTTTGACTATTTATTTCTGTTGGAAAAATAATTTTTCAAGTTTTTTTCCTACAGGCTGTTATAAGAGGAAACAAGAAAACTGTATCCTAATTTGTAACTCTGTTTAATATTATTTGTGGTTTTTATTGGCAAATTTTTTATACCTTTATTAAATAATTATAAAAAAAACAAATACAAAACAATCAGTATCATTAAATAGACATAAAGAAATGTCAAGTTTCAAAAAATAAATATAAAKATTTTTTGACAGATTTTTTAATTTTTTAAACATTTCTTTAGTACTCTGGGGGACTACTTAATGACTTTCTTTCAAGGAAGTTTTTTCTATAACGATAAGATGCAAAGTTGTGCATACAATACTTCAAAGTCTCAAGACTTTATTAATAATTTGATAAAGAGTCATCTAAATAGAGTAAGAGACGTAATAAAAGCTAGGGTTGGTCCCACATGATACTAGGTTTATTTTTTCAGAAGTTCCCTCTTTTATTCATTTTTCACTTTAATTGTTGATTATTTTCTTCAGTTTTGACTGAATGAGTAGAAATTTATTTGTTGCTTTTTTTATTTTAATTTCAATGCAATTTATTTTCATTGATATTTTTACTTCCAACTAACAAGAACAGACACACTGAACGGCTCGTGAAAATCATAGGGGGGAAATTGCAAAAATAAAATTTGGATACGGAATTTATTGTGTGGCGGGMTATTGAGTTTTTAAAACTTTTTGAACCTACCTTTATTTTGGGCGAGCGGTGGCCCACCAAACAGAGGGATTAAATTTCTTTGAATGTAGGACCTCAGCTAACCCGTGAGATCAATCAATTTCAGGAGAGTAAGGAAGAGTCAATTAAAAATGCATTTAATTATTAAACTAATGTATTTGGAATATTTAACATAATATAAGTGAATAATACAAAAGGTAAATAAATGTTAAGCGAACATGATAATTAAAACAATTGTCTAAAATAGGGAGTATTCCTATTTTAGGCCTTATCAAAGTCATAATACAAATCTGAAACTATTTTCTAAATAAAAAGCGATCAACAAAGGCACTAATGCTTTAAGAGACATTACTACATTTTTACGGAAATTGGTAAAAGTAACAAATGGTGATTATGGCACGCTTTTAAATACAAAGATCTGATTAAATTAGTAATTTTACACTAACTATGTACTTGAACGGAATTAGTAAAAACAATCAAAATGTATTTATTTATCAATTTGGAAAAACATTGTAATTGCTGACATCTCTGGTTTTCATTTGTCAACTTAACACTCTAATAAGAAATAAACGATAAATGAAACTAAAATCTTAAACCTAACTTGGGGTTTGTGAATCGTCACCAGAGACCAAATCTCTGTCGTCATTACTTTGACTCGTGAACCTATCCATCTTTCAACACGGTTATTTTTCAAGTTCATCTCGGCCCAAGCGCTTTAGCTTAGCAAAACATTACTTAAATAATTTGGAAATTTTGATAACGGTTTCGGGTAACATTTCGCTCGAAATTCCACAACAAAATCGTAATATGGTACGGCATGGTAAATCGGAGCAACGTGAACAGTCAAAGGAAAAATAAATCAAAACTTACAGTTCATGACTATGCAATTGAACAAACGGACTGCTTCGGGCTGATAGCTTCTGGTGGCACAAGATGTTTTGGCAGCTTTTTCCTCAATTAACACAACTAGTCTGATTCGACTAGACGACTGATTTTTACTGATTTATTAGCTATATTCGCGCTTCCTTTTTATAGGGCGAATAACACGTCATCTCTTGCGATGGGTTCTTTCCAGTGCGAATATTTTGTGAGTCATGTGAGTCATAAAACGCAAAGATTTTATGTCGTCCCCGAACAACTCGTCGCCTGCTCTAATTGTGATTACGTTATGAATTCCGAGGAAGAGTCTGTGTTATTGACCGCATTTTAACTTCATAGGTTTGGTCTCTTTACAATATCAAAGACTTTAAGTCTTTTCAGCATTAAAAAGAACAACAAGAGCTTTTTAGCCCGTCACATTTAGTCTTCAATTCGACTTTTCATAACAAATTCTGTTAATGGTTAAAATATTTGCTCGCAATCCACAAACACCCTGTATACATATTGCAGATCGCAATAGGTTCAGGGAAGTTGATTCTTGCTGCGACAACTCCTAGTTCAGAGTCTATGTTTACTTCTTGGGATGGAAATGATTCAATATAAAAGGCCACTCCTCCTGATGCAATGGATTCTGTCAATGTGTTTTTGTAATAGGTTTTAAACTTTTTAAAGTGATGGATTTTATTATGCTTAAAACGTGTTTCTTGGAGTGCTATTATTTGAGGTTTGTATTTAGATATTAGTAGTTGTAGATCTTCTAAGTGGGGATAGTACCCATTCACGTTCCATTGTAGAATGAAAATGATTCGTTAATAGGTGTTACTGTGTTGGGCTACATCTGTTTCCCTATCAGATGACCATTCGTAGTTTTGATCAAGTTATTTTAGAATTCTGTTTTTTATTCTTGTAATTTTACTTTTGATGTTGAGATCTAGAGGTTTTTGGGAGCGAACTGCATTATTGGAGAATCCGTATACATGTCCTGTGTATTCGTTGAGTTTAGCAGTGTTGTTTCATTGCTTATGTGTGTGTGTCGTGATTCATCGTCGATGCTTTCTGATGTAACACTGACTGGGCGTTTTTTCTGGTTGGTTTTAGGAAAATTAGTAGATATTTCGAAAGTGTAGTTTTGTATTTTAGATATACAAATAGATTCAAAAATACAAGAGGTTGAATCTTAAAGCTGAAGAAACGATCTGAGTAGCATTTTCTTGAGACTGCGGAAGACAAGATACTATTAATGTAGTATCTTGTATCGGAGATTTGGGGTGTGATTTATCAATGTTCGTGGGACACAAAGTAAGGAAAATTCTAAAGTTAGTATCTTCATAACTAATAACAATTGATGAGGGAAAAATACAGTTCTCAGGTGGTGGCGCCTAAAACTTTCAACATGACTATAATCCTCATCTTGTATTCCTGCTCGTAGAGTAGTGATTGGAGATACAATATTTAGGCTTCGCTTTATAATGACATCTTCTAATGTACTATGAGGTATAGAGCTACTCACGTTTGATAGGAGAAGGCGGGTGTTATGAGTTGAGTTTTCTTATTTTGAGTTCTGTGTCTCGTATAGAAATTGTTTTGACAATTTCGGTGAGGTGATTTACTAGAGATTTCGAAGATAAATAAATGCATATTCTTTTGTTGGAAATACGAGATGCAAAAAGAATAGTTTTGGGCCCTATTATAGAGCCGACAGCTTTAACATAATCTATTCGTTGGAAGTCTTCGGAAGTATCGATAATGATGGCTTGATTTCTTTTTGGAAAATTGATAGTGGGCGTTGTTTTGCAAACATTAGCGTAGCTTACATTTATGGTCATAGTAGCGCGTAGCTACGCTACTAACGCTACGTGTTAAACGCAGCGCAGCGATTAGTTTTTATCAGTTTGTTGTGATATGGGATTGATTTATTATAATTGGTAAGGAAGAAGAATGAATTTTGAGGGATCTACGCGATAACAGTTTGGGCCCACGGCTTACCAGATTTTTCCGATAGTTTGTGCATCCAAAAATTATCACTTTGATAATTTAATCGGGCGAAAGTCAGGTACTTGTGTACTTATTCGATTGTTTCATAGTCGTAGAAAAAACATAGTATTCTACTCGCATATAATGGCTATTATTTACTCATGTGATTAAAAAACTCGACTACTACGACTTGTTTTTTGAACTACTCTTTCATGAATAACAGTCGACATTTTGATGAGTMGTTTTTGAAACTCTTAACTGTTTCCAAACTTTTTGTCAACCTTGTCTAAAACAAAAAATTACAATAACTTTTATAATACATGTTTTCTACAGGTTGTGGAGGCATAATGAAAGAAAAAACTGGTATTTTTTCAACACCAAAATATCCCCAAGTCTACCTTCCCGGCACAGTGTGTAAGTGGATAATTTCAGCTTCACCTGGTAATGTCATTCAAATAACTTGGTTGAATTTTCAACTCGAGAAAAGTTCTGAATGTTTATACGATGCTGTGGAAGTTTTTGATAATAATACTGAGATTGGTCAGGGGTCTTCAATTGGAAAATTCTGCGGTACACTCGTTCCGCCGGCAATGTTAAGCACTTCGAATTTAGTTACCATCATTTTTCACTCGGACCAAACTTACAATTTGGGCGGTTTTGTGGCTTCTTATAACACTCTTCTTGAATCAACAGGTAAAAAGTAAAAATTATAATAAATAATTCACAGTAATAAGGTAAGAATCAAATTACATTGCATGTGAAAAGTTGGAAAAAAATGACATTTCAACTTCATTTGACAATTGATATGAAACATTAGGTTTAGGTTGGGAAGTGGTTATTTCCCTATTAGTCGATATGTAATGTGACAGTTTAGGTTGGTAAATGACCACTTCCCAACCTAAACTGTCATATGTCATGTTTGTCATGTTATTTTCGTTATTTTTTCTTTTGGGTTATTTATTACAAAAACATAATGTTTCAGTATGTGGAGGAAATTACTATTCCAGCGCTGGTATAATAAAATCTCCGGGATACCCGAATAATTATCCTSTCAATATTGAATGTACTTGGACGATTCAAGTTAAACCGGGTCATCAAATAATGTTAAACGTGACCGATTTTCATTTAGAACACTACACCATATGTAGATACGATTGGTTGGAAATACGGTAAATTAAAAAAATAATATTAAATACAAAATTAACTCAATACTTTTCCAGTAATGGAGGAAGCTCAGTGTCTCCTTTATTGGGAAGATACTGTAATACAGATATTCCCAAAATGATTCCATCACACGCTAATAAATTATATATTCGATTTAAATCCGATATGACAAAATCTGCCAGAGGTTTTAAAATTACATGGGAAGCCACGGCGACTGGTTGTGGGGGCGTTTTAAATAGCCCTACTGGATCTATAATATCTCCAAATTATCCAGAACCATACAATGTGAACACAGAATGTATCTGGAAAATTTCGATAAGTGCAGGCTCACTCATCCAGTTGGTTTTCTCAGATCTGGATCTTGAAGAATATACCGAATGT